GAAAACATAGGCAAAATTTTGGTTCAACAATTTTAGGTCCCACTGAACTGTCCTCGCATATTGCCATCTATCAAATTCCATCCATCAACCAAAATCTTCGTCAAACTTTGAACATCTTCATAAGAAATCCGCTGATTCAAATTAGAAATCGTCTTATATTTGACTCCTTTCACTCACTCTGAAGTACAATTGCTGCTCTTCTGCAAGCAAATGTCTCCACAGCTTTCCAACAACAATCATGGCCGTTGATGTGGAAGCGAGGTTTCTATCTACTCACTTTCCAAGGTTCTCTCCCTCAACTGGCTACCGAACATAGTTCGCATCTACCTTCGCCACATTCGCAAAAAAATTTCCCATATACATTTCCTATTGGTTTTCAGAAGGCTAAATAACATAGCTGGACTGACATTCGCACAAATTTTTGGCATACATTTTTCAGTACTACTTCGTTTGCGCACGCATGCCTAATATATTATAATTCCATTCGACATTCGCATCAAACCTTATTGGTGCTCTGTGAATTTATGCGTAAAAGGGGGAGCCCTCTTTCGAATATATCATCTCTAAATCACGAAAACGAGGGAATAAAACCAAAAAGGAAACAACAAGGTGACATCATAGCAACTAGGGCAGGAAACAAAACTTTTATTTCTTGTATTCTATGGACCTTTTTTTTATTATCTGGCCATTTCTAGTACAATATTCACAATGCTAAAATGTATTAACAGACAATTACAAAAAGACATGTGGAAATCTGACATTCGCCAGTGCGAATGTTGCGAATGTCTGGATCCGCCCCTGCTTAAGAGAGTTTTGGGGCATAACTCCTTATGGATGTATTGTTGTGAAGGAGCAGCACGCGGTTAATCCTTCACTCGTTCCTAGACCTCAAAGTTGCATTAGTCAGTTGTTCACGCCACGTTGTAATGAAAAGGTGTTCACGTTTGATCATGTTTATTGTAAATAGTTTTATTATGTTCCTGTTGATGTTATGAAATGTTTAAAAACCCAAATTATGTCTTCTTCAAATGTCCTGACCTAAATTTTTAAAACATGTTTGATTTCATGAATGAAAGTTTCATACATTTGGAAAAGAAAATATTGATTGATTTTCTCAACAACGTATTCCGAGATGGTATATTCTTCATGCTTTGATTCATAATGCTTCTAAAACTGTCAGTGTTCTATGGGCTCCGAGGCATAGAAAATTTCAAGAGAAAATTTAGAAATCACAACAAAAGATTTTGAAAAAAGCTCACTTGTTTTGCAAAAAGTAGGGGGGAGGGGTATACACAGTGTTCATTTCCTTCTCGCATCAAACACACTTTACTTTCTGTCTATACTTTTGCTGTCGATCAATACTTCAGACTTCATCTCGAGGCGAAGATAAACATGTGCGCGTTGAGCTCTAAACGAAAGCGCTGATCAGTGGACGGACGAAAGACAGAAATGTATATATGTTGCTGTTCCTTGCCTCGTTTCTGTTTTGTTTTCCCAACTGGGAGGAGATTGAAAAAAAGATGGGGGAAAAGACCATGAATTAAAAAACCAACCTAGGACAAAAAGTAGCAATAAAAGTGCGTCCTAAAGAAAATTTCCAGATTTGCCCGACAGATACACTAGCAGCCATAAATTTGCCCGACAAAATCTGCTTTTTTGAAGATTGGGGGGGTGCAGCACCCCCCATACCCCCCCAGTAGTTTCGCCCTTGTCAGCAAGGCTGAAAGTACCCAAATCAAGAAGAAAATTAGGGTTACGCACTTTGCTCGATTATTGTAAGGAATTTCCTGTCTAAATACAGAGTTGTGACGCCATAAGAATTTAATCATTAAATTTTTGACGATTCGCCATATCACCTGAAAGAGCACCATGAAATACCTTTATAGATATATAGATATATAGATAAATCTAATATATAATAGGTCGAGATATAGCTAATTGAAGATTTGAAATTTGCTGACAGAATTTTTTTGGCATGGTTTATAAAGTTATGAACAGGGACTAAACTTCAGTGATTTGATAGAGAAAGAGCTTGTGTTTAAGCATCGTCAATAGTCAATAGCAAGGTGTCTTTTCTACCGACCCGGGCTGCGCTTGTGTGGCTGTATCTCACGGGTTTTAACACATTCGACTGGTTGTGCATATCAAGTGGTATTCCTTGAAGCTCTTTCAAGAAGGTTATATCACTCACATTTAAATGTTCAAAAGCTTTCTCAAAATGTTTGTGACGTCATCACTAGAAATATATTGTATTTCTGTGTGAAGACAAACAAAGTCAGAAAAAGATTTTCCTAAAATTTGTTTAAAGCGCCCGGCCTGTACAAGCGCCAACCTCCACAGCTTTTAAATTGAATACACACTTTCGAAGTATATAGTCTATAATCTATATAGTCTATAATCTATATAGTCTATAATTTATAGAAGTATATAGTCTATAAGAATATTGAGGCTCAAAATTGCTAAAATTTAAGAATAATGCAAAGCTCGAGTTTCAATAAGAATTAAATGTTTTGTCTATTTGTGTTTTTAGAAATCAAAACAAATGCGAGATTCACGCTATATTTTTTGAAACAGGCACAAATAATGTTCAAGAATAAGCTGCTTAAAAATGATTTTTAAGAATAATCTTGAGCTCAAAATATAAAAAAAATTAAGAATATTGAGGCTCAGCCAGAAATAAGGTATTCTTATAAGAAAAAATGTATATGCTTCATCGCTCACGGGTCACCTACGGCATATATAGTTTTGAAAGAGCAGATAATGTTCGTTTCCCACTAGCGAAAACACGGTAAATCAAAATCTGACCCTGGTCAAGTCTGAAGGAAAGCTTTCAAATGGGAAAATGAAACTGTTGCCACAAGATGTCTTTGTTTGGGTTTGGTACGATAAAAGGCTTTTGAAATATTAAGATCACTTTTCAAAGTCAGCTGAAAAATGGTAATGGAGGGATGAAAGTAACAAGGTAACCACATTGGACAACAAAAAACCTATATATAACAACTGATATTTGCTATGGAAATTTGCAGATGGTATCAAGGATGTTATCATTTCCAAAGCTACAAAATATGACGGGGAAGGACAGAATAGAATCTACAACCACGGGCATTAACACGAAAAATGATAAATGTGTTGTGGCGAGGGTGTTGGAGCACAATCTGGTTCAGAGAAGTTGGAATCAGTGAAACTTTGAAGCTGGAACGTGACAAGAAGATCAAATGCTGAAATTTCTTGATTGCAAGAATACTGCTTATTTAGCAATAACTGATTCTCTTTTCATTAAATCGCTAAAACATAAATTATTTCGTAAGCTCCTCAGTTAACGAATTCATTCACTTACAACCATAGAATACAGAGTAATGTATCAAGGCTTTGCTTTTCTCACAGGAAAATGCAGCTGTAATGTAATACATAGAAGCAGCTTTTGAAAGGGGAAATAAAGGTAGTGAACATGGATAAAGACGTATCCCATTTTCCAAAAAGGGCAATGCTCTTCACGACACATTTATTATCAAATTGTCAAGCTTTTCTGGTTCTTAGAAGAATATTCTTGCAAACATGACAATAATCGAAGAATATTTTAAGCACGTACAAACTTTTCCAGTTAATGTTGTGGCTGTACTGCAAGGGTCTGTTCTTGGCCTATTTGATCTCGTTCTTTATATCAAGAAAGTTCTCGGACGGCTTAAACATATTCAGTCGCAAACATGGCTAGTAACTTTAATTTCATTCTTCATTTTATTTCATTTTCAATTTTTTAGGCATGGTACCCCCTTAGTTAGAGAAAAACTGGTTTACAGGGATAATGCATTAAAATACAATATCATAAAATTATTACCTTGACAGGGAAATACTATAGAAACTTTGAAATTGTCTCCACAAACAATTTGGCAACTGATAATTAGAGAAAAAGTCTACAGCAGTTTCTGTAAAACGATTGCTGAAATTGTTTCTCTCGTCTTTACGGGCGGGATATCGTTTCTTACCCTGGGTACCAGAGCCACAAAACTTCAAACGCGTAAATAGATTACAAGCGGAGAAGCGGAGGAGCGTCTAGCTTTCCTTCTTCTCGGATAGACGCTCCCTCTGCGTCTCCACTTCTATCTTCTTTTTCCGCGCGCGAATTTATGACTGTGGTACCCAGGGTAATCGTTTCTCAACACTACGATGGAGCATTTGTCGTGAATGGAGCAAACGTAGCTTGCAGATACGAGTGGTGATTCAATTCACTGTAAATATACAAAACGGGAACAATAAGAAACATAAAAATGAAATTTTCTAGCGACTTCTAGCAACTATTTGAAACGTTCACAGCCAAGCATCTTTACCCAAATTTTAATAGATTTTTGGTTTTAACAAAACACTTAATCTGTCATATACACTAAACACTTAACAAAACGATTATATCATTCATAAAACTGTAAAAACATAACAACCCCCCCCCCCTGAAAAATGGGTCGAGTCGAAATATGAAAGCTTTTTAATAATTTCAAGTTGGAAATTTGTCAAGAACATTATTTTGAAAAACGGCCACAGTTTCATTTTACATAAAAACATTCCAAGCTGTTTTAATGAAAAGGTTACAAAATAGGAGAAAGCCTTCCTAAAAACACTAAGAAAATTGGTCTGGATAAAGGCTAAAAGAAACGATCTTGCTTTGTCATCGGCTGTGCTACGAAAACATTTTCTTGATTCTGAAAAAAAGGATTACATGCTAGAATTCCCTGAAGAAGTCATTTTGCCAAGTAAAGTCTATGATTTGAAAATGCTGCCATATAAACTTTTCGCAAGGTTTTACTGACAGTACCACACTGGCGTGATAAAGGCACCTGGGGTCCTTGGAAACAAATCTGAAACAGGACTTTTTCTACCAGGGACCGCGGAAGAGACTGAGGGGTCTATAGCCCCCCAATAATTTCCAAACTGTGCTTGAAACCATACAAAATATCGCCCTCGCCCTGATTTTAGCATGTTAAACCACCCCCCCCCCGCCCCCAAAAAACGTTCTAGCCCCCTCAATCCGTGATATGATCCGCGGACCTTGCTTTCTACGGACTGCAAAAGGTCCCATCCAATGGTGTATAGCATATTAAACAGAAAACCAAGATATCAAAATGGTAGTTTTCTTGGAGATTCCGAGTTACATGCTTTGAGTTAAAGTATCTTTTAGAATATTTGAAAACGATGTTACCTTGGGCAAAGTCGTGAAAACATGGATATGAGAATAGCCTGGGGGCTTCTTTGTCTGGGCCCCTTAGTTATCAAGCTAGTGTTTCCTAAACTGCGTTAAGCCCTTAGTTCAGCGTTCAAGCTCAGTGACACTTGACTGAGATACAACCATTGAATGGCTGAAGCGATGCGCTTTGAAGCACATGGCCCCAACTTTTTTCAGGGTGGCAAATTACTAAACCAATAGCAACTTAGAATTATTACTGCTTTTCATAGTTCAAAGGCACAATTTTACATCACATCCAAGCCAAGTTACATCAGTTTTACACATTTTGTAAGAATACCCCCGAAGGAACAAAAGAGAGGGAAAACTTCCGAAGTCCCAAATGTAGTAAGGCTAACAACCAGTCAAGACATCAGATTTTGCTACTTATATTTTGTTGCTGTATCTAGTTTGAATATTACTTAAGATTAAAAAATTGAGGGAGAAAACTTCCGAGAAATACTTTGAGAAAGTTTGATCCCCGGAGATCTTAATTTATTCGTAAACTTTAGCAAACGTAAGCATTTTAAACATTCGTAAACTTTAAACAACATTCTTTCTAAATTGTGTATAATACCTAATTTGGCTCTATAATCCAATCACCATTAAATATTTGTAAAACGTCTGATTGCGAACAGCGAATAGGGTGATAACAACTATGTTCTGAGAAAAGAATACCTTCCCTTACAAATTGAATTATGAATTTATTCAGAGCATTATAGTACACGGTTGATTTAGTTATATACAATTGTTGTGAATGGCAAATAATTAGATGCGTTCATCTCTCGTGTGTTTGACTTGATGCCTGCGAACGTCAACCTTCCTATAGAAAGCGCTACCGCATATATTGCAAGAGTACGGTCTGACACCAGAGTGTCTGCGCATGTGAGTTAACATATTTGAAGACTGGCTAAAAACACGGCCACATTTCAAGCACTGGTGCGGTTTCTGGCCAGTGTGCATCAACACGTGCTTTTTTAAGTCCGATCGTCGCAAAAAGGTCTTTTTACAAGTGGAACACGAGAATGGTTTGATGTTGTCATGTATCAGTTTGTGCGTTGAAAGGCTCGACCTGCGTTTGAAAATCTTGCCGCATGTCCGGCACTCGAAGCTCCTCGCTTCAGCCCTCAAATCAATTTCTTCACTGTTTGTATCGATTACTTCTGAGTACGGGCTGTTATCATTTTCCTGCTTAACAATCTTCTGCAAAGGGTAGCAGGTAAGGCCTTTCAAATTCACGCTTTCCACCTGCGTTGTATTGAAAAGTAAGTCCTTATCCATGGCTACCGAGTTGCTCTGCAGATCGAGATCGATATTGTAATTCCTGGTGTTGGGATACAGCGACGGCTGAAGGGGTTGACCGTTATCAAAGCGTGGATAACTGATTTGGTCTGCCATGTCCCAGTCGCCAGCAAAGCCATGCAGCGATGAATTCATGGCTAAAACAAGAGAATCTCTTATTCATTAAAATGGTTCACATGGCATGGATTATAAATCCTCGAGGATTATTTGCGAATATGCGGATTCGAACAGGTGGTTCCTGCTGTAACGTGAAAAACACGGTGATGGGAAATCACAGCCTTGCTAGCATGGTTTTCTATCAAAATATGCCTATTTTATAGGGTTATCGTAACATCTAGAGCACGGGTACAACTTGTATGGCAGACAGTACCTTTTGACTTAAAGCAGGGATTCTTATTCAAGTATTAGATTTGCTAATCAGAGCCTAGCCCGAGATTAGCGGTTGCCAATCTCTGCGGTGCGACGGAGTTTATGAATAACTGCCGCATGTACGCGCTAGAAGTGGCACGCGTACACCAAATTATTACTTTCTTGTTAAAATTTTGCTTTCCAGTGCCCTTATTTTCAGCAACTTTGTTATCTTCCTTGATAAAACAAAACCCCCTTTGATGCCAAACTACAACAGTTTAGGGAAATTCTATTCAAAATTACCATACAAGTCCATAATAAATTGCTAAATTAAATAAAAAAATTATGAAAGAGGCTCCCAAAAAGCTTAGTCATCGATATTTAGCCAGTTATAACTTTGACTATCACTGATTTCAAAATCACAAACCATGTTTAGGAGAATAGACAGAGGCGCCATGTACACTGTGTGTAGCATGCACGTGCGCGGGAAATCTTACCTTCTACGAAGAATAAAAAGTTAAAAGCATCGCTGCTGTCGATTTCATTCTCGTGTCGACGTGCGTCGATCCCTTGAGATAACTGCTGAGCTGCCCTTACGCCCATCATTGTAAAGTCGAGACTGCAACAACTTTCAGCGAATTGTTTGTGTAGTTCCCATGGGCAATTAACATTTTTCTCCTCTGCAAAAGCTTGAGTACTTGCTCTTGAAGGCAAATCTTAGATCTATTCAGAAAGCCATTGTGTAATAAGATTACTCATGACGCGCGCTTTTGAGAATTTCGTTGCTGTTGTCGACGATATCTTGTCGTACAAAGGCATTTGACAAGCTTCGGTGGCGGAGTGTGAAAAGAAAGAAGACATCTTATCGGTCACGTGGCTCCTTACAGTCCCGTTAATGAAAAGTAGCTCGTTTATTCGTTTATAACTCACGGCCATTGTAATGTGCAATAACTTCCCGTTTGTGAAACCAAGGCAAAACGAGAGACAAAGGCCAGGAACACTTGAAGGAAAATGGAATCAAAGAAGGAACAATTAGTTTTAGATACTATCAATTAGGGACAATCATGATGTTGTTGGTAGGAGGGATCTGCAGAGATGGTTGACAGCCTACCACAGAATGTGCAAAAATGGCACGAGAACGCAATTATGATTCTAAATGTAAAATTAGTGTAACATGTTCTCTGGTAATGTACTTATGACTACAAAATAAACCAGGCTGGAAGTCTTTAATGAAATGATGCTAAAATCGAAAGAGGCCTCAAATCTGAGCTCTTCTTGACGTAATGTGCTCCCCTATTGTACTTTCCAAACCCAGAGACCAGGGCCGTCGCTAGATAATGTTCTCAAGAGGGTTTTCCAGCTCCCATTTACCGACAGAGTGTGTGAGCCATTCTTCTTTTGCCGATGGGTTTGAAAATTGCAAATTTGCTTATGAAAAGAAAACCTTTTTTATTGAAAATATTTCACAGGTATACTTATCATCAAAGCTCAATTTTCGTGTTTTCGTAATTATGGATATTGTTTAGAAATAGAAGAAACTCGATTCTTTTGCAATTCTTATCTGAACTACAATTCCTTGATAAATGTTCTATTATTTCCCGCTAAAACTTTAAACTTTTTGTTACTTGCAACAGCTATTTAAATTTTCTTTAGATAACAGAACGGCCTTTTTTGGCAAAGGGTGCAATACTTTCGGACCGTAAGTGTAAAACTTTAAGATAATTTTGGGGCATAACTCCTTGTGAATGTATGGTGAAGGTTTCATACATTTGGAAAAGAAAATGTTGCTTGTTTTTTCTCAACAAGTATTCCGAGATGGCATATTCTTCATTATTTGATTTATTATGCTTCAAATGGTCAGTGTTCCATGGGCTCCGACGCAGGATGGAAACTAGGGGGCGGGGTGGTGAAGGGAAAATTTAGCAATCATAACAAAAGATTTTGAGAAAAGCTATATTGTTTTGCAAAAAAGTGGGAGGGGGGCATGCCCTGTGTTCATTTCCTTCTTGCATCAAACACACTTTTCTCTCAGTCTATACTTTCGCTGCCGATCAATACCGTAAATCCTCGAATTAGCCCCCTGGGGCTTATTTTTTTTGATATTTTTGGATGGGGGCTTATCAGAATTATTTTGACATTAAGAAAACATTATTAAAAGATTTCATTTATTTTAGTAGAAATTTCTTTATGAGCATTTAATTAATTACTACCAAAAGTATGAATTTGTTGTGGTAATTCAATAAAACGCCATAGGCGACCTCAGATGGCAAAAATCATGAAATTGAAGGGTCCAATTTTGAGAATTTACGGTAGCAGTGGGGGCTTATTCGAGGGGGGGGGGCTTATTGACAATTTGTAGTTCTAGGATGGAAGCTTATTCGGGGGTGGGCTTTTTCGAGAGGGGGCTTTTCCGAGGGGGGGCTTTTCCGAGGGGGGGCGAATCGAGGATTTACGGTACTTCAGACTCTACTTCCTCATCTTGAGGCGAAGATGAACATGTGCACGTCGAGCTCGAAACGAAAGACAGAAATGTAATTATGTTGCTACTGCTTGCCTCGTTTCTGTTTGTTTTCCCAGCTGGGCGGGGATTGTAAAAAGATGAGGTAGAAAGAACATTTATTCAAAAACCGAGCTGGGGCAAAAAGTAGCAATAAATGTGCGACCTAAACAAAATTTCCAGATTTGCCTGACCGATAAACTGGCAGCCATAAATTTGCCCGACGAAATCTGCTTTTTTGAAGATTTAGGGGGTGCAGCACCCCCCCCCATACCCCTCAGCAGTTTCGCCCCTGTTATCAAGATAAAAATCAGTGCATAGAATGGATACTATATGCAATAATAGTCATTAGTAAATCATAAGTGAATGTAAAACATTACTTCAATTAGTTAATGTAAATCAATTAGTAAATCATTAGTAAAACATATGATTCATTAGAAAATCAATCAAGAATATGAAACACAAGAAAAAGGACGCGCCCCCCCTATCCCTAACTCCAATCTTACCATATAATCTTATGGTAAGATTATATGATTTCAAAGGTGCTAACAATATGATTTCAAAAGCTCAGTGTGCTGAGTAAAAATGTTGTACACACGGATGCAATTCGAAGAGTCAGCGTTTCCAAATATCACCGCTTTGCCAACCGTTTTCAAAAGACGGCGGATCTTGAGCATCCGGGGTCTTGAGGAATTTGGCTACAAAATTGTAAATTAAACGATACTTACCTGAAAGGGAGGTTGAAGTTTGATTGTAATTCTATGAGTCATCAGCCAGGAGTGAAGGAGTTGGACGAGAGAGCGCAGCGCATGCGCCAACCAGACTTTAGAGAGAAAAGCGTTGGTGCAATGCTGGAGTGAAGGAGTTCGGGCGGGAGAATCATAGGGTGGGCGTCCAACTCCTTCACTCCTGGCTGATGACTCATAGAATTACAATCAAACTTCAACCTCCCTTTCAGGTAAGTATCGTTTAATTTACAATTCTATTTCGTCATCAGCCTACGTCATTACGTAGTTGTACGAGATTTTAGAGCAAGCATTGCAGCAAAGCTTTGTTTGTGTGTGTGAGTGCAGAACGTCAAGTGAATAAGTAGATGTTGTTTGAATAAAAAGAGCAAATTATTCAGAATTATCATTCATCAGTCTTTGATATCAGTTAAAGATTCTAATAACGATTGTCCAAAATTAAAAGTTTGTTCTAATGGCTTATTATAAAATTGCTGAAATGTTTTTTCACTTGACCATCCAACTGATTTAAGTATATCTTGAACATTGATGTTTAACTTTGCAAGATGTGAGGTTGATGCTGATCGGATGCTGTGAGCCTTGAATTTGTTGGTATCAACACCTGCAGATAATAAAACATGTTTTACCCATCTAGATATGGTATCAGTAGATACAGGGTTATGTGGTTTAGTGAATCCTAACAGTAGTTGATTCTTTCCATTTACCCGAAAAGGAGAAGTTCTCCTTATGTATTCATTGAGATGGTTGACAACACATAAATTATCTTCATTTGGATAAGCAATAAACTCTAATGGGTTTATGTGTGTCCCTGGGCGTGTCTGCTTAACTTTGTCAATAACACGGAAAATATATCTATCTGTCAGGATGTCCATGTATTCAATATTAAGTGATTTGATAGTCTGACATCTTTGGCCACTCAAGAGGCATAATAAAAAGGTGGTTTTCATTGATAAATCCTTCAATGTCAGGCTTGCCACACTTTGCTGTGAGCGAAAATGGTCAAAAACAGGTTTTAAATCCCATATATCTTGATGTCTTGGGAAAGTTGGTCTCTGCTCAAATACCCCTTTCATGAAACGTTTAACAACTGGGAGTTTTCCAAAGGGAGTATCTGTATCAAGTTGCAAGAAAGAAGAGAGTGCACTTTTAGCTGTGTTAATGGAACTATAGGAAGCGTTCATACTAAAAAGGCTTGACAGAAAATCTAGAGCTTGGGAGATATTGGGAGAAATAACATTAACACCATTGTTATTGCAATAAGCGAGCCATTTATTCAAACTTGATTGATATTGGGATTTGGTTCCTGCTCTCCAGGAAGATAATATTATATTTATGGTTTCAAGGGAATATCCTTGACTTTCAAGTTGTCCCCTGATAATAGACAGATAAGAAGGTGCATTTTTCTGTGGCATGGATGTAGCTTCTCTGGGAAAGCTGGAATTTTTAGGAGATGTGGGGCTGGGTACAGCTGGATTGGTAGCTTGCATAGCATTGACATCAGTACTGGATACCACGATTGCGTTGACCACTTTGGGACTACTACTACTCCTGTTGCATTGTCCTGTTTTATCTTCTGCAAAACTGCCAGGATGCAACTAAAGGGGGGAAAGCAGTAAAAATTTAAATTACTCCAGGAAATGGAAAAGGCATCAACATAAGTTGCTCCTGGATCAGGTTTGAAGGAGCAATAAACATCAAATTGATGGTTAAGTCTGGAGGCAAACAGATCAATGTCTGGTTTAAAATTAAGTTCAGACAAAGCCCTTTTTAAAATACTAGAATCAAGCATCCATTCAGTATCTTGCTTTGAAAAATTTCTTGATTCCCAGTCTGCCACAATATTATGGCAACCTGGTATATGAGCTGCAGTTAGCCAAATTTTGTTTTGCATACAAAATTGCCATATTTCTAAAACTAATGTATTACAGTAATCACTTTTGCTTGAACCCATTTTATTTATCATTCCAACAGCAGAACTATTGTCAATCATAATTTTCACATGGCTACCTGAAATTTTATCTACAAAACATTGTAAAGCAAACAGCGCAGCACGGAGCTCTAGGTAATTGATATGATTGGTAGCTTCCTCAAAAGACCATTGTCCTCCACAAGAGACATTATTAAAAGCTGCACCCCATCCTTTCAACGATGCATCTGAATATATGGTGAAATTAACCGCCAAAGGCCCAATAATGTTATAGGCAGTATCTATGTTATCTAACCACCATTCAACATCTAATTTACTCTCAGGGGAAAGTAACATTTTTGCTTTGTAGTTTCCCCTGTTGAGTTTTAAGGCATTTATCTTATCTTTCTCAATAGATCTACAGTATAGCCTTCCAAAACGAACAGCAGGGAGGCTAGATATCATATACCCAATAAGTTTTGCAACATATTCCACTGACAAATTGTTGCTATTCAGTAGAGCATAAGTTAGATGGTGCTTGATTTTGTCTTTCTTATGAGCAGTTAGGAAAATTTTCATTGTTACTGAATTTATGACAAACCCAAGAAATACAAGACTTTGGTTTGGAATGAACACTGATTTTTGTGGATGGACAACAAAACCAAGCCTATCAAATGTAATTATCGTTTCTGCTACAGTCTCAATGCAGCCTTCATAGGTTTCATTCAGTAAAATAAAATCATCAATGTAACCTGCAACAACATGCCCTTTGACATGCAATTCTGAAAGGACTGGCTTAATTATTTTTGTAAATTTGCGTGGACAACTTGCTAAACCATTTGGATAAACTGTATATTTATACAATGTATCATTGTACCTAAATTTGAGGAATTTTTGATGACTTGGGTGAATCTTAACACTATAATATGCATCTTTCAAGTCCACAGAAGCCATCCAACAACCTGGAGTAACCAGTTTTAAAACAGAGTGAATTGTTTCCATCTTAAAATGGGCATATCTAACATATGTGTTTAATTTCTTTAGATTCAAGATTAGGCGAACATTGCCATCACTTTTTGGTACTGTGAAAACAGGGGAAATATAGTCACCAAATTCATTTTCACTCTTGACAATTACCCCTTTCTGTAGTAACGATTTGATTTCAAGTTCAACTTCCTCCTTGTGTTCTTTTGAGACAGAATTAGATGGATAGGAAGTTTGTAATGGAATAGCACTGACAAATTCAATTTTTTCCCCGGATATAGATTCTAAAATGCTTTGGTCTGAAGTGATAGATTTCCAATCAGACAAATGCTCAGAAAGTTGACCTGCATGAAAATCTTTTACCTGGGAACAAAGATAAGTCAATACATTGTCTTGGACAAGTTCAAAAGCAATTACCTGTTTTTTGACATTTTCTAATTCTTTGTGAATTTCTTTCTTGCAAACTGTTGTTGGGGTTGAGAGTTTTGTTGCTGACTGTAAGGTCTTTGATGGTATTGCATTCTGGGAGGATGTTGCATCCTCCCTCTCTGCCCTAAAAAAGGCCTCGGCTGAAAATTTTTGTTCATTCTAAAATTTTGCTGTGGGTCGTTGGTTTTAGTTGCTGCACTAACAATTCGAGATGTTGCTCGGAGGGTTTTCAATGTTTCTGGTAGGTTATCGCCAAAAAGAAATTCGCCCGGTTTCAAACTGCGTGAGCAAGCCTGCTTAAACTCCTGACTTAGATTTGGCTTCAAAGCTTCTCTTCGTTTATACGAGAGCTCTTTGTTAACATGACCCAAAATAGCAATGGTGTCAAAAAGCTTGGATATTATTGATTTATAGTCAGGGGTCTTCTTTTCCTCGCGTGCCTTCAACAAATCTTCAATTGAAGAGGAAATGGCACCTGTCAATCTAAGAAGGGTATCTTGGATTGTACTTGATCTTACATCGTTTCCTCTTACATAAGGGCTCAATTTTCCCCAAATTTCTGGGTTGACCTTGGGTACAAACAATGATGTGCAGTTTTTTGGGACCTTGTACTTACTAAGAATTTCCTTCCTTTTTTCAAGGTCAAAGTCTGCAGAAAATTTTGTGTTCACAATGCCTGCAAGGTGTTCTGAAATTGGCGGGCCCTTTACCTCTGATGGCACAAGGGCTTCACCTATCAATGAAAGCAAGGCATTGTTATCAATGTTGACGCCTTCATCCTCATTTGTATCAAATTCAAGACCCCCAAAAAGACTCATAGCATCCTCATCGGATGGCCTATATGCTGATTGAGCAGCAGAAGTGAATGCATTCGTAGATGCTAACGTATTAGCATTCGTGGATGCTACATTATTAACATTCGTGGATGCTACATTGTTGGCATTCATGGATGCTACATTATTTGCTTTCAAGGAAGCTACAATAAAGGAACCATCATCAGAGGCAGGGGAGCAGCAGTCCCCAAGCAAGGGGTCAGCTCTTTTACGTTTCGGGAGAGGTCCCTCGATCTCAGAAAATGAGCTTTCATTCCTCTCAGCAACTAGGGAAGCCAAAACTTGACTGTTTTGAGCCACATTCGCTTGAATATTTATCAATAAGGATTGCAAATCAAAATTTTCCAACGAGCCACAATTGTAACCGTCAGAAGATTCTTTGCCTTTGGGTTTGCAAGAATCCTGTTCGGTCACGCCCCCATCGTCAGAGGACGCCATGCTGCCCGAGATAGAATGTCAGGCCTCGTAGCAAAATAAAGCAAAAAGGAAAATCTTTGTGCAGATAAACCGCACAAATAAAAGATTAAAATGGAACTTAGCTAATAACTGGATCTTCTGCTTGATAACTTCGCAATTTCTTCGTCGTTGACGAGTCGGCAAGCAAAACACGTGTCTAGCTGGCACAAGAACTGTCGCAACTGGTTGGCGCATGCGCTGCGCTCTCTCGTACAACTACGTAATGACGTAGGCTGATGACGAAATAGAACACATATCAAATGCAATATCGCACTGATTGCTCCAATAACATGCATTTAAAAATGAATGCTATCGTTGGGTAAGGCAGGGGTGTAAGGCCAAGAAGCTCATTCGTCAACAGAATTGGAGCTAAGCCTCTTGTTGATATCCAAAATTAGCCTTCTCGGTTTACTGTAATGGGTTTATTAAGAAATGCATTGCAATGATCCCCCTTGTTCCTTTCATAGTTCTAGCCTGGGATTAGTGTAGACCAATCATCACGATTGGGCCTAAGCAGAAGTGAATTTTAAAATGGCGCGTTTTGGTGACGCGGAGCGAAAGCGGATGAAAAACGCGTCACGCCTTAGGTTAGGTACCACTACCTTTGACGCACGATGGGAGAATCAATCGTTTCTCAAGCTGCCTGCGCGCTGCACGAGGTTGGATTGACTGCAATTATCCATTTCTTTTTACTATGAGAACCTGAGCGAAAGTACAGAGCAGGGACAGAGAACGCTAACGCAGGTTCTTTGGAGAAAACAATATGAGAGAAAGGCAGGGCCGCCGAGTCGGGGGGAAGGGGGCAAATTGCCCCAGAGCCTCGAGGTAAAGGGGGCCTCATAAAGTAATGAATTCGGTATAAAATAAAATTAACTAAAAGCAACAGAATTGTGCTTTAAATCTTAAAACGTTTTACTAAATTGCAAGAAAATTGATGAAATAAGCAGATCTAAAGTGCATGGTCGCAAAAATTTCTGCATACTTCGCTCGCAGGGAGCTCGTCTTCCAGTTTTGCCCTAGGGTCTCTGAAATGTCTCGGCGGCCATGGAGAGAGGGGCGGATGGGTGGCCGGAATTTCAGACCAAATAGAATATCAACGGTAACGAGGGCTTGGAAGTAAGTAGCTCATTTACGGACTTGCACTTGCTCCTTTGCTCAAAACATTGATATTACAATTACAAATGATATTACCAATGGTCAGGAGCTGGAATCAGAAACTGTCATGGACGGTAAAATACTAATTTTCTTAATATTGCATCGATATTCCAATGATATGGCATTGGCACCGATAGATAAGGGGTGTAATAGACCTTCACTTCAATCAATATATCTGTTCGCTAGAGGTCTCTGCCATTTCGCGGTAGTTGTTGGCATTGAGTAGCTTTTGGGTCTATTATGCGAAGGTTACACAGTAAAGAACAATAAATGTGAACCAGAGTCACGGTTTTTGTCGCGCGGGGTCACCGATGGTTAGAAGCGGAAACGCCGAAAACAGCGTTTGAAGATGCAATATCGCAAGCAATTTGACCTACATTGACTGAAGGTAAAACAATACGAGCTGTGTTGTTTCTTAGCCTTTTTGCAGATCAACAGATTTCCAAGTTCATCTTCTAAAAAAACAGATTTCCGCTTGCTGTGTAATTTAAAAAAGGATTAAAACGTTTTCCAACGCAGGGTTCGCGCCACCTACACGCAAGCAGTTTCGAAATTATTGTGTGGCAGCACCGAGTTTCACCCTTTTGATAAATATACAAAATACGCCATTTGACAGAACATGCTCATCAAAATTGTTTACGATGGCACAAAATAGCGTAAACAAAGCATATTAGCTTTCAAATTTTGCAGCAGCAAAAACTTATTCAAAATATTTTTGCATTACAAAGTCATTCCTCCGATTGTTTTGGGTTGTTTTTCGTCTTTTTGCATTTGGCTTGCTTGGAATGAGTGGCAAACTTGAAAAATCCAGATGAAGTTCAGTACTTGCCAAAATAAGCCGAAGTAAGTAATAATAGGCCAGAATAAGCTATGGAAGCCAAATTAAGTTGTAATAGGCTAAAATGAGCCAAATAAGCAAACGTAGGTTGTAATAAGCCAAAGTAAGTCATAATTGGCCAAAATAAGCCAGAGTAAGTCGTAATAGGCCAAAATAAGCTATGGAAGCCAAATTAAGTCGTAATAGGCTAAAATGAGCCGTAGGTTGTAATAAGCCAAAGTAAGTCATAATCGGCAAAAATAAGTCGTAATAGGCCGAAATAAGCTTTGGAATTGCCTTCGTACAAATACTGGAAACTGTAAGGTCTGCCTGCGGAACGGCGCGGATTTTGTGGTATCTACTTATTTCACACTACTATTGTCTTATTCAAAACTCCTTGACTTAAGAGCCAATAAGATGTCTTTCCACGATTTTAAGGAACGAATCATAACGGTGCCTCATTCATCGTAGGCCTTTGGGGATGTCTTTGCATGCTAGTCATTGAATCAGTTTGATAATGCGAGCGATTGTTCTGTCGGTATCCTATCAAGCGCTTTTGTGAACAAATAATCAAAATTCAATTAGAGCCATTGTGCCAACGATAAAGACTACGAAAAAAGACGATTACTTCACACGGGATGAAAGTAAGTCATAACTGGCCAAAACAAGCCAATGTAAGTCATAGTAGGCCTAAATAAGCCAAAGTAAGTTATAATAGGTCAAAATAAGCCAAAAACTTGGACATTTTTTGGCAGACGAGGGAAATACGCCAGACAAAGGCTTCTGACGGGAGGTGAAGCCCCAATAAGACTCCCTAGTAGACCAGTTTTCTACTTTAAAAATCATAATTTTTAAAATTTCTATCTAAAAGCTTTCTATTTAATTTTTTGGTCTATAAATGCTTGAATATTAGGTGTTTAAGATTATTTAGTCACTCAAAGGAAAAGGAATTGCTTTAAAATATCAAAATGAAATTCCATTGTGGCACAGTCACAAGAAAATCAAGAAAAAACCTGAAAAAAGTCTTTCACCACAACTATTTCATTAAAAGATTCTCAGGCTTAGAGATTAAGCCTTGAGAGATTGTCGAGAGTACCGCGGGAAATTATCCAATCTCATCTAATTGGCCTAAAAAACATTTTTTCAAAATTGGTTTATTATCATCTGCAAATAATTTGCCATTGCCGAATGTCTGTGCTGTACTGATAATAACGTTTCCATTGCTCTGAATACAAATCTAATTAGATACAAAGTTGAGTCGATTCCCGAGCATCATAACATTCTATTCGTATTTCGTACTTTGTTCTTCCTGGTCTTAAAACCAAATATTTAAATTGTTTTCCTTTAGAAACATGCAGTTATGTTCCAGTCGTTCATCTCGGTTTCTTCAACAGTTTTGACTGTACGGCCTCATTGGATAGTTTTTGACATTAGTGTGCTAATCTCAAATAAGATTTAATGTGGTAATTATGCTATAATCAGATTATTTGAATACATCAGTTTTTTAGAAATAGAGAAATATAATTTTGGAGAATTCATGAGAGTATTTCTCCCAAAAAAGATTATTGTAGGACTTCTTTGAATTCAAGTGTTCTGTTCACTGTGGTTCGGTTTCACTCTTTTAGCTCTGTCTTGAGGATACCTATATCATGAGGGTATGAGGGCATCATAACTATTGCTATTTGCGTGAAATTTTGTAATTAATAAGTCGTGTGGTAAACAGCGAAATGTCTTTGATGGATTCATCATCACTATACGAGCAATCAGTTTCTCATCAGGACATGCTTCCAGGTTTTCCACAAAACGCAGATGAGCATGTTTGAACTCTTCTCGCGAGCGCTAATAGTATAGTATGTATACAAAAATAAAATATAATCTTTATCCGATCATAAATTTGTTCATCTGTTACCCGTTCAAATATTTTGCTTGTTGGGGTGAATTTACTTACTGGTCCATTCGAATTTCGAGCTATCCTTTTTAAATTTAAGGTTTATATAAATCTTTTTAATTACAGCAGCGGAAAATACAGGATCCGACCGTATTAATGAAAATTTTCAGCTATTGTGTCATCAGTTTCATTAGAAGGAGCTTCTAGAATCTTGGCTAGTAGGTTATATCTTCCAATTTTATATTGGCACTGAGCGAGAATAAACAAATTTGAAGACCATGTTGTCATTGTTAGGATATTTGGTACTATCAAGTAGGTTACTTGATTAGCTGCGTGCCGTGGGAAAGTTTTCAGTGCAAAATTATGTCGTAGTTAAAAAAAGGTTAAAAATACTATTTGAGCAATGTATTAGCTGTGAAGTAATGAGAAAAATTGATTTATTAACTTATTTAACGGATCTTATTTCTAACATCCAAACATCTAACTATTTTTCCGCATACAAAAATAAGCTAAAAATAAATTTTCCCTAGAGAAAAATTTTGACATCATAGTAAAAAAAATCAAGAATTGGGCCGAAGATAAGGAAAACACATTTTTACGATTCGATACTGCCATGAAACAGCTGCTGATAAGAAAATTATTTCTCCTCAAAATTTGAAAACACACAGAGCACAGACATTTTTGAGGAAAACTTTTAAGCCAATAACTAAAAACTACTAAACGGTCGATCGATCTAGCAAGAACGCCGCCATCTGTGGCTAAAATTCGAACAGTGAAATATCCCTGATCGTCTTTCTACGTATTCAGAAAAGAACACAAACAAATATAATAACTGTATCTTCCTCATTTCAGTAACCTTTTTCTCTTTTTTTGATAAATCATGTTGGATATGTTGATGATCCAAAAGAAAGCATGGATATTTCCAAGGTAGCACCCATCTAGGGTTGCGTCAAACCATCAAAGAAAGTGCAGGTAAATTAAAGCGCTGACTGGAGTTTCAGAGCATTTCTGCTACACTTGATGTTTTATAATTTTTTCTTTCAAAAAACATTGCTATTAAACTATCACAGAGCAAGTATTATGATATACATAATACTTGCTCCAGTTCACCTTCTTACTCCACTAGCTAGAAAATTAAAGGTGCCAGACAATAGCAAAACCACAGAAGTTTGTTCATTATAACAGCCAAGACTATGTTAAACTGCTGAATCATAGTTTCTATAAATAGAACGGTGGAATATTAAGGTCCTATGAACATCAATCTTTTTTCATAGACCAAAGATAGTAGAACTCCGAAAATGTTAAAAATGATTGAAAATTTTAAGAATGGGATTTGAGTTTTGAAATTAGTAACGCAATTATATCAAAAACTAAGACAGCATTGTCCTTAGACATTTTCTGATTTATTGCCAAACAGTCTATTTGTGATAAGAGCCATGAACTCTTCACAACTCCAAACATCTAAAAGCATAAGCTAATTAGCTTCCATCAAATCTGTGGATCAACCTAAGTAATATTGTCAATGCCTAACACATGGGTAATATGCACGTATTTAGTGAACTGGAGGTTTCAAAGTTTGTGGCAAATTTGTAATATGGCGCTTTTAAGGGTGTCAGAACAAAGGTGGTAAGAGTGGATAATTGGATGCAACCAGAAAAAAACAGAGAGCAAGCAGATCACGGAATGCTTCAAATGATGTTGCATATGTTCTGTGAAATCACTCATGATGGTTTATGCGACAGTTGGGCCAGAAATAAGAACAGCACTTTCAGGTTTTCTCGAAAAGTTGCTCGAAATCCAAACAAAGAAGCTTTGACCAAGTGAGAATTAGCAGCCTGCATCGAGAATGTTCAAATTTTAAGAATTATTGGTTCCATGAACCGACAGGCGAAATAATACGCATAGATACAGAAACATCTTTCCAGGCTCGCTAGGGATACAATGCGAACAGGTGGCATTATCTTTATTTGTGAACCATCCTTTCCATTAAGCGAGACATCCTCTTTCTTACATTCAAAGTGCATGCGCAGTGAGTATCAAGTTCAACCCGCATGCTCTTGACCATCTGAAACAAGGGAATGCCTTCGTCTACCAAACGCTTCTCCTCACCTTCTCGCAATTTGTTAGTTTAATTTCCTTTCTTCCATGATTCGACATCAGCTTTTACAGTGTCAAATATGTTTTATGTGATTCAGTGATTGGAAAGGACTGATATGACAATCAAATAACAGCTAACATTTCAGTCTGGCAAACTGTATTTATATTGCTTGCTAAAGCTACCACATACCTGCCAGGAGGCTTGCAAAACTATCCAATGAGGCTTTACGTACAGTCAAAACAGTTAAAGAAACCGAGATGATAAAACAGAAAGTGGGAAGGTAATCTCAGACTCTCAAAGAACATCCAGATGCTATAGATAGACGTTTGTCACGCCTATGTTTAAAGAAGGAGTCAATTGGTCAATTGGTACAAGATGGCAAAAACACTGAGTAGAAAATTTAATTTGACCATAGACAATATTTACATGCTAGTGCGAGGCTAGGCGAAAGGCAATTTGACCAAATGCGTTGTAATTTGATCTACTAGCATCGAGCTTCTAAAACTTCCCAGGACCTATGGAAATTATAACAGAGAAAACAACTGGCTGTGCAAATTATTACAAATTATTACTGTCTTTACAGAAAATTATGGAATGCAACAGGAGCATATTAGGAAACTTATAACATTATTAGTTAAATACATAAAACTTAAAACATTAACTTCATATCGTTACAAAATTTAAGTAAGCCAGTCAAACTAAAAAATTAAACAAAAGGTAGCAGAACTTTTGAATTTTGAAAACGCTTTTGATAATCATCTATTTAAATAAGGTAAAAAATCAAAGCATTTGTTCTCTACAGCGTCACTTAATTGAGTCACTAAATAATTAAGTTTAGAAATTTTCAAAGATATAACAAGGAATGTCTCAAAAAAATAAAGTTTTGCTTTCTTTTTAATGTTTCATCTACTGCTTGAATTGAAAGGCTTTACGTGAGTATAAATCAAATTGAAGGAAACAACAACAGCAGTACATTACATAAATAACTTACAAACGGGCTCAACAAAAAACACATTCGGGGCCAACGAAACTGTAAATTTGAGGGACTTGAAGGTACTTACTGACAAAAGATGGTGATATTTAAAAGAAGAAAGAGACACCACCAAGAATGCACAGATTCAAAATGATTTCACATGGTAAAGGTAGTGGCAATCAAAAGAAAGCTCAAGGGAACAGTCCATGGTGTATGCAGTTGGGTGGCATTGGATGTATCGTGCTATTTTTGATGAAAAAATGTGAGCTAGATTCCTGAGAATATATTTATGCTAACAAATTTTCATTGGAAGTGCTTATCGCAATAAGATGCATAAGTGACCTGCATAGAAGCAAATGTAACCCTTTGCTGAGCACCAAGATAGACTAGTTTCTAAATGAGACCATTGTAGGAAAAGGGAGGCTACAGTCATCTTGTTAGACCATGCTACACCATTCGCCCAGATATCAAAGTAATGTTTGTCAAAATAATTTTCCCGGCAATCAATCTTGGAATGCTCAGTTTTATCGCCGATGAGCTTCCATCCCTGAATTCCGATCAACCTTTGACGGCAGACCAACTGATCAGCGTGTCCGATAGATTTTATGCATCTTTTAATACTGGTACGTTACAAAATCAGTATGCTTTAACATTTCAGTACTTTCTGAAGAACTACCAACTTCCCTACCACCATACAGAAAGCTGCTAGATACTTTTCAGCAAGCAAAGTCGATAATAATAAACGATAACACAGAAGGATTTCACATTACAATCAAAATTAATTGGCGTACCTGTGCAAAAATTATAGCATTTGAATTTGTGTTTCGCAAATTTTACTTATCTCCAACATGTTTACTTCTTTTTCTTCAATTCCTCAAAACGCCGCGCAAGGTCGTCAAAGTCCACGTCCTCGCCCTTCATACTTTGTCCTCCGACGCTGCCTGGGGGTGGACTCGAGGAAGGAACAGCAGGAAGATCGGGCAGGCTTGCTGCACCAGGACCTAGGCCGCAAAAATGAATTGACAAAGATAAGCGATCAACTCTAAGTAGAATCATGTTGCAAAGGGTTGTATAGACCATTAATGTGGCACGCGTGTTTATCTTATGAGCGGGGTACCAAAAAAGGTACTAATTGTAAATAGAAGACATTTGTAATAATAAGGATATATAGACAATAAAACAGACTTATACAGGCCCGTCGGAACCGGCTGGAGCCCCCCCCCCCCAATAATTGTCAAACTGTAGTATGTTCCTTTATAACAGTGTACTAAATGAGAAGGAAAACAATGGGCAGCCCCCCCAATATGAATTTCGTTCCGACGGCACTGTTATCTATTTGTAAAAAGCACGGAAGAGCAGAAATATTTTATTAGTATCTTTATTCCTTGTTTATTTCTCTAGGTTGTTTATTTCTTATGTCTCCTCTCGCGTCCTGATTGCTCCTCCAGCGTACTTCTTTATCACATGATTTACGATCCCCTTTGTTTAGCTCTTTCGTGTTTAAGCTGATCTTTTCTCGTCTGTAATTATACTGAAGATGACTCTAGCCAGAGTCGAGACGTTATTTAATCTAATTTAATGCACTTGACGTAATGCCTTAATTGGAAATGTCTTAATGTCTTAATGGATTTGTCTTAATTGGAATTGTCCACGATGTAGCAAGAAGTTGACAAACACATGATATGATGTCTTTTTTCTTTGTCGTCGTACTGGTTATTAATTTCATTATTAAGCTGCGTTTTCCGAAATCTCAATTTATTAGTATCATATGATACTGTAATGCGCTTCCACTCTTCCGTGCTATTTTCAAATTTTTCGGTACCAAAAGCTTATTTTGTAATATATTTGTGTTGTTATAGGGAGTACATAGAGAATAACAAACAATTATATATATTGGCTCTTACAGAAAAAATATACAAGACCGAGTACGAAAAGATCTATTTTTGTTGTTAAAGGGGCTAAAGAGCAAAAGATCACTGAGATAATTTTATACCCTTGTAAGAAAATCAAGATCTTTGTCGTTCAAGTGAAAATTGTGTCCTTATTCTTCGTCACTGAGCACCACGCCTAATAGATGGTGTTTATTGGTCAAATGGGTAAAAAAGGAAACAATCAACACACCATTCTTCTTCTCAAGCTACATTCGATCCGCAGCTGAATATAAATTTCTGCTAACCTTTAGTCATTATCCGAAGTTTTTACGAACGAAAATTGGCCCAGTATGCTATGTATTCGCTGTTCCGTATGTGTAAATTATTTGAGTACCAAGTTACAGAGCGACAAGGTTACAGAAAAGATGAGCTAGGAACTAGAATGAATTATCAACTCTTAATCAATCTGGAGTTCTTTTTAAAAATCAGGCACCTGAACATCTCTGCAGCTTCTTTTAAAAGCTTTAGTGAAAATATGTCGTTCATTCTCGTTTAACAAAATAAAGTCGATGTCTGCAAGTATTGTAGATTGAAGTGAAACTTATGAATTTGTAATTTGAAACCAATCTCGCTACATTGGAAAGTATCCGTATGATAACAACACACACATTAACCAATGATATCTGATGTACTGGCGAAAAGTCTTGTTTTTCATGGTGATTACAAACATAGAGATTTAAAATGAATATGTTAAGTTAAAATTTTTCTACACAAACAAAATTTTGTAGGGTAATCTCACCATTACTGCTTAGTGGCTGCTGGGGTCTCCCTGGTGGGTATGCAGGAACACTCGCAGAAGGTGGCGGATAGGCCATATCTGAATGGTCGTTTGGTGGGTATGGGGGCTTCTCAGTAGGATTTGCTTCGTTGTATGCAGGGGGCTAGCAAAACAAAAATAAAATTTTTTTAACAGGAATCAAATTGGTTAATTTGTCGCTTAATGGATTAGCTTTAGACATGTTTTAAGCTGTTTTATTGAGGATTTCTTTGAATAAAATGACTGGCTTGATTTATTGAAATTCTTAGTGAAAGAATTTCTTCACCGCTCAGGGACCACCCACAAGATTCATAATCTTAACAAACAGTATTGGCCGAATAGCTTTGAAAAATTCGATACTTACAAGTCTGGATCTGCCTTAGATAGAGAGTGTCATTTCTCTCATATAGTTTATACATTCAAACTTTTTATATCTATATAGAAGAGATATTTAGCAGTGACCAGGACAAGGTGGACAATGAAGCGCCAGCCAAACCTTTATTACCGTTAGAAAACTGGTGGTTAATCAACATACTCAATTCTAAAGGGAAAAATCCCACTAGAAATTTAGTGCAAATTTTGTCACGCTATGGTAATTCTAAAACTATTCGGCCGATGGGTAATAAAAGTTTCTAATCCAAATAAATGTACTGAAAACAACTTCATTAAAATGCTAATAAAGTTATGAGTTGTTACCAGGCTTGATGGATATCCACCGCCTCTATTACTTGGTGGGTATGTACCACCTCCTGGGTATGGTGGGTTTCCTGGTACATTTGGAACATTAGGTATATTTGGAAATTGATCCCCTGCCCCACCATGGTGATTTCCTAGATGCTCAAAGCCAATACCGTGACCACCACTTCCACCACCTGGTGCACTTGGCCCACCTGGACCGCCTTGAAATGAGCCAATGTTGTCAAATTCTTTTGAGTCAATCGATGGAATGCCCTCACTCTGTTGAAAAAACAGGTTGCTACAACAATGGTGCTACAAATAGTGATGCTACAAACATTTTAATTCCAAATTTTTACGATCAGAAAAACTTTTGGCATTTTGTGCACTATTTTTTTCATAAGGACAAAAAAAAGGCTGATCTAAAGATACGGTCCTAATGATCAATGTTCCATTTGAATGCTGACCCCAACCCTAACCTTAAGTATGGTTCTGTATGAGACCACATGCATAGAGGTACGTTGGTACATAATCCCCAAACATTCAATATTATATTGTTAGGCCATTTTCTGTCCTGGGCATTCATACCCAGCATTCTAGACCATTCTATGAATCATTACACTGGTTGACAGTTCGAGTAAGAACAAAATGATTGGCTATTATTTGATATATTTGTTATGTTCTCCATGACTAGGCCTTTTCTGTGGTTAACCCGAAAAAAGGTTTAGCATTCCAATGAGATGAGCTTAGAGGAGGCAATTGCACCTGCTCGCATCTGCCCCCTGTCCCTCCTAAGAGACCTCTGGGCAAGAATGGGGCAACAGAACAATAGCTTCTTCAATCTTGCAAGAGCTGCGAACTCATTCAAAAAGGTCCAGATGACAATAGTTACAAACAAAAAATTCAAGATTACTGGAAAAAACTAAATACAAACCAGCATGACATCAGGATCAGGCTCATATGACACATTGTAATTTTTTGCGATTTCCATAAGATATCTTTCAACCAGCAATTTTGGAGGAGCCTGTGGACTCATTTTTATGATAAGCTAAAATACAAAACCATAAAAGTTGCAAGAATGTACTTTTCACTTAAAATTGTTATATCTAAATATATCCAGCAAGATTTCACCAAAACATGCCAATTTGTACTAAAAGCTAGAGTGGAGAGATATAAATTATTCAGAAAAGAAAGGATAAAAGGAGGCTCTATACAAATTTGTTAATGGTCAAGATAAATCACAGAAAAAAATCAGAGCCCAAAAAGGTTGGTGATCTCATAGGCCACAAACATGATATAAAGACTAACAGAAACAAAATTAAAAACTTAAGTGCCACAAGAAAACCAGAGGGAATTTCAGGAGTAATGACAAACAGTGTTTTTGACCTTCAATTTTCTTACTGAAAACCAGCATCATACTTCACAAATTTTTTTAGTGGGAACAAACTTTCTTGACCACTTAGTGGATATTTAGATATTTCTCAAAGCAAAAAAAGTTCAAAATACTTATTATAACTTTAAAATATAATGGCCTATGGATATTACATGCCACTATCTAGTATACTTCAGTTCAACATAGAGTTAGCATTTCAAATTGTGTTCTAAGAAATTTAAATTTCGAATATTATAATCTTTAAATTATAAATTGCACACTTTGAATATACATTAAAGCTATCAAAAGGAAAATGAGTTTTGAATGATGTATTGGCCAGCAACCCTGCACATTTGAAGCCATCTTAAACTTCTGACCTATTATGAAACAATCACTTCCTCCCCCACTTTCAAAAGAAATCTTAGTTATAGTTACTACTCTAAAATTACAAAAATATTAACATATTATTCCTGCAATGTTTCCGCAACTGGAAACAATTTTACCCAGATTTAAAACTATACTGATAAAAGTTTCAAGACACTTATTTTCCCATTTTTGATTTGTTTTTGGTAAAAAGTTGAAGATTCAACATAATTTGTAAACATTCAATAATATAAGCATTTATGTGACTACTGGGCCGTTAATTTTCTAGTGCATGCTAAGACACCAATAACATAATGTGAAAGGACGGTGAAAGAACAAAAGTAGAAAATCAGGATCCATAGGTTGTCTATGATGTCTATGCGGTCAATGGTAATGTTTATTACTAGTTGCACATTATTTTCTTATGTGCGCTTGCTCATTTGCTATATTGAGAGATAAACAAAATGTTTTAAGCATGTTCTACAAAGCCAAGTTAGCTTAGGCATGCAAATATGAAATTTTGAATTAAGGAAATCCCTTAGCGATAAATAAACAAAAGTTTCACTCACTTTTTCATTTACTGTATTGTTTATATTTGTTCTTGCCTGCTGACCAAACTCTTTTCCATATTTCAAAATTAACTGCTCTTCAATCTGTTATATGAGATGAAAATTGATATCAAAAAGATAACAAAAAAGCATTTGAAAAAGGCACCAGGTTGATGCTGTTAAAAGCTGTGTCAGATAACTAGAAAATTGCCTAATTTGAAGATTTTATAACCAATAAGTAAACTAGCACAGTTGGTGCATTATCTCTGTAGACTAATTTGCCAAAAATATTCAGGAATACGGTTTCAGAGGTTCCAAATTATACATTTGCCGTATTTCCTACAGGCGAATATTCCTTCTAGTGTGTCCTTTAGGGTTGATTACTGATGGATCTTTACAAACTATTCTAAATACTAAATACAATGATGTAAATATAAATATAAATAAATATATTACAAGCAAATAATTGCTACATCTTTAAGGATATATAAATAGAAAAAATCTAACATACTATTTTAAGTTCCTGGACATCCGAATAAAGCCTGGGAGCTGACCAAATTATACTGGAGACAGGCTCAACAAGCCCTTCATCACAATACCTGAAATTACAAATTATTGGTCAAGACTATTGGCAAAGAATGGTTAAGAACCATTTTTTTTAGTATTAATGGTTGAACTTATTTCATTTACCTGGCAAATTGTAATTCTCTTTCAGAATACATGAAAGTACACAAAAGGTTAATCAGTATATGTTGAGACTAGAGTTGTTCTTAATGCATAGAACGTGTTTGTTTTAAATCACCAAAATGAAAATGTATATACTCCTTTAGAAGACTATTGTTTTCTGGTTTGTCATATGCATATGCATATGCAGGTACTGTCTGGAAATTATACATCAAAACAGAACCTGATATATTTGATTACTTGCAGTCTTTGACAGGAGGAAAATTTATACAAAAAAGAATAGTGAATGATCTAACTATTACTTACTTCATTGTTTCAATAAGACCAAATCTAGCAAGGAGAAGGTCACAGTACATTTCAACCAACTCCAATGCTTCAACCAAGTAATCTTCTCTAATGATATGCTCAACCTGTAATAAAAGCAAAAAGGTATGCTACTTCCTGCTACTTTAACCTTGTTAATAAATAGTCAAAGTCAACAAAACAACTTTCTGGTAACAAACATAATAGTATCATTGAAGTATAAAATATCACATTTTTTTTCTTTAAAGCTTTCAACAAAACATCTTTTAATGAAAACTTTAATGATAAGAAACTTTTACCCGTATTCTTGCCCTGTCAAATTTATTGGCTTGAATAAAATCTGCAATCTCTTTTCTTGACTTCATCGCTATTTCAGCTAAAAAACAAATCCTTAGCATAAATTTTGGTTGAAAAATTTGTGCATTTTTAAGTTTTGGTGTGCATTAGACATACTTCTGAAAAACATCTTGTGTGTGCACATGTTCCAGCCTCACTCACACTCTGCACTGAAGTCTTACTTAATTCATACATCAAAAAGTTTGCAAATTCCCTTAGCCTTTGCATAAGCCCCCAGGGCCAGGGTCTTATTTTGCAAAAAATAATTTCTGGGTGGGGTTTTATTCGAGGGGGGCTTATTTAGCAGCACCCAAAAATGTTATGAGGTTAAATTTCCTTCCTCTATTTGAGGCTGGTCAGTATGCTTAAAATGTAGATATATTGGGATCGAACTTATTTTTCGAGGCAATACCTCAGCTTATTCAAGTATGAAGCTTATTTCACAAAGATCACTCAGGGTTGGGACCTATTCGAGAGAGGAGCTTATTTGAAGAGGGGGGCTTATTAGAGAGGACTTACGGTTATGTTGGAGGTATGAAGGAGGATGACAAATGCATTTCCAAGGAGGATGAAAAACGCCTTCTTTCAGTGAAATATACTTACTCTTCTTCTTTTCCAACATTTTGAGCCGATTGATAGCAAGCTTGAGGTTTACCCTGAGCCTCTGAGATTTGAAGCCAGAAGAAAACATTTTGAAACTTTGTGTAGGCCGTTATATTTCCCGCGACTGACAAAAGAGAAATCTTTACAAACAAAACAACACCCCAACAGCTTCTTAATTCTGTTGATGCAGATCTTAGATTTTGAAACTTGACGCAAAGTTGCGTTAAAATAGCCTGTTTCTAGATTGTGTCCGAATGTTGACACCCTCCTTCCATTACTGAATATCCTAAAAATATAATCTAGTTCCCATACCTCCCGAAAATTTGGTAGTCAGCATTTTCAACTTGATGCATTACGTCACGCACACAAAAAGTTGAAATCATATGATTTGGTCTTATGAATCATCAAAATTATGGGAGTGGCTTAAAGTTACATATATAAACTAGGTTGGTTTCTAAATTTTTGCAATAGCCACAATTAAGTAATTGTCTGATGCGACCTGGAGTGCCTTCGCGCAAGCTGCGCTTTTGTCATTTGCTTACAGAGATGCCATGATAATCCCAAAATGAAAAATACCTTGTAACAAGCCCGGTAAAAATACCATGGCGATAAATCTCCTGACTGTATAGCCCCCTTTTGAAAAAATTAAATTACAATGCATTTTATTCCCTTCCCCTGCCTGCAGCAAGCTGAGATTTTTGTGCCCAGTCAGTCTTATGTTCTAACTTTGTCAAAACATAACCATGTGTGGGAGGTTTTTTTCTAGTCATAAACAAATTTACCTATTTGATCACGATTCACCTATTTGACCCCATGTCCTATTTCTACAATGAGTGCTGCTAACGTGATTGCTTGACTTTACCCACAAGAGTATTAAAACGAGAGGAAAAAAAACCCCGAAAACGATAAAAACCCCGAAAACGATAAAAACCCCAAAAACGATAAAAACCCCGAAAACCTTATTGTATTTTGCGAAAATTTTCGCATAATGCGAAAATGCGAAATTTCGCAAAATACAAGTTTCGAGGTGGAATTTTGTAAAATGCGAAAACTGATTCTAAAAACTTTATTTGCCCAGATCAACGACCGAAAACAAGCAATTCATATTCAGGGCGACTCTGTTCATGCAAATAGCCTAGTTCATGTCCCATCTAACGTTAGATAACTCATGGACACATTTTGGAAAATGGTTCAAAAAGCAACCACACCAAGGCCACGAACGGCCTAATTGTGAATTGCCCATTCCAGCGAAAGACGATAACAGTAAGCATCCCGGTGCTTGCTAATTGGTAATTGGTAAATACCCAACGTTCTGCGTGTTCTGTGTTGTTTTAGGAGTAATTTACGCCTTTATGCACAAGATCATTCAAATTATGGTTAGCTGATATCGTCTGCGCATGGATATTATTGCTGTGTGAGACTATGTTAAGTTAATCGCAGATGTAAAATGCAGGTCATGCAGGTTAACAAAACGCAGGTTAAAGATAAGTGATCTCCATCCCACAACGTCACACACAACATTTCTCAGACAGGACCCTGAAGAGACAAAGAGATATGCCCCAGGTAAGATAGGTAGTTAGATAGGTCCCACACCCACTTGTGGTGCCTCTCCGAGTCCCAAGACAGTTTACACAGTACTTCTCCTATAGGTATGTCGAAGAGCCAAAGGGTATGTCCAAGGTTAGATAGTTACAGCCAACATCCTACTTGTGGTGCCACTCCAGGGCCAAAGCCACCAGGGGGCTGGAGGGGCAATGGCCCCCCCCCACTTTTTCGGTGAGCAAAGTTATTTCCAGAGAGATCCTGTTGTGAAGTACTGAATTCAATTTTGATTTATGGAACTTAGCCCCTCCGCCTTGAAATTTGTGGCCTGGGCCCTGCTCTGAGTCCAGTGACGGTTTGCAGGGTCCTTCTCAGACAGGTATGCCAAAAAGACAAAGAATATTTTTTAGGTTAGATATGTTGTTAGGGCCCACATCTACTTGTGGCGGCAGTTTGAGCCCAATGACGGTTTGCATGGTACTTTTCAGACAGATGCACCAAGAAGACAAATAATATGTCCTAGGTTAGATAGGTAGTTTGGGCCCACATCCCAATTGTGGTGCCAGTCTGAGTCCCATGACAGTTTACACAGTACTTTTAGAAAAAGTATGTCAAGGATATATCCCAGGTTGGCTAAGTGTGGTTTAGGTCCACATTATATTGATGATGCCGATCTGTGTTCAATAACCAAGGGCATATCAAAGAGAAAAAGAGGTAGTAATGGGTTAGGTAGGCCTGTAGGTAGGTGGTTGGAGCACACATTTTAGAAATGGTACCAGTCTGCATCCCATGATGGTCCACACAATACTTCCCAGCTAGACATCCCAAGGAAAACAAGATATTACTGCTGGGTAAGATAGGTAGTTAGGGCCAGCATCTGATAAACGATACTTTCCTAAAATAGAAATCCAAGTATGCATTTTTCCAAATTCATCTTATAGCCCTAACATCAGTCAAGAAAGCAATCACAGAAACACAAAGCTTTCAATTTAATTGCATTTCAAATTTTACAGAAACGCTTGATGCTTTTGTAACCAGAGTCCTTTTAGGGTAAAATCCATTATTGATAAAATATTATACAATTTACCAATGAATAAAATGCCAATGCTTCTCAATCAATGCTAATGGTTTGATTAGAGCTAATACTTGACTACTAGACTTTTTCAAAATGATCTCTTGTAAAGAAGTTAGTATAACACACCCTACCTAAAAAAAATTTGATTATTTAAGATGCTAAAGGCACATGAACCATAAAGTAAATTATTCTGTTAAAATGCATCTTGTTCTAAATTTTTCTCTGTTTCCCTCCTGCATCTTGGCTGATACGCTGACTTCTCCTCTTTAGAATCTGATACAAAAAGATAAAAGTTGAGAGATCTCTAAAAAGACAAGGTAAAAAGGAGACAAAGTACTTAAACATTAAACTTTAATGTAAGCAGCAAAGATATCATTTTCATTGGAAATGGCTACTCCTCAGGAAAATCTTACTTCACCCTGAATTTGGCAGGAGGGACATTACCATGATTATGTTCCCTTGAATGCCAACACCCAAATATAATGTCATCAAATGTCTAGGGCTCCACAGCTGTGTCTACAACAGAGTTGGCTATGCCAAAGTAGTACTAGGTCATGATGGATTGTCAATAAGGACACTATCTTTGCTTCTTCAAGCAGTTTTTCAGGCAAGCAAGTTAACCTGCTAAAATCTGTCTTTACTAGCTATACCTCAAGTTTATTGAAAACTTCTACCATGTTGTTTACAAGGTGACTTTTCTAAAGTAGAAGCATAGTGCCAAGAATAAAATTATATTCTGCTTACATTTTGAGTTACATTTGAAATCCCTTTTTTTGATGTGTCCTGCTGCTTTTGCAAATCATTCACAATCACATCAGCTTTAACCTTTCTCTTTTGTCTCTTTGCCTGTTTCTTTTGCTGCTGTTTTTCTGGTCCAGGCTTTGATTTCAGGGCATCCATCTTTAAGTCTCTGAATCGACGAAGATCTGCACTAAACAGTACCTGGAATAGTGGCTTGATGAGTTATGCCTGCTAAAAATGGTTGCATTACTCAAAATCTTTGCTTGGAATGGGATGACACAAACAGCCAATGCAGTCAGGCTTCAAAGTGCAGGGGCGGTGTGGGGTGGTATTAAAGGTATTAGTCTAATACCTTTTTATTTTCAAAGGAAGGCGACTTATGGTCTCTGAGATTGCAGGAAATTTATTTTGCTTTTTGTACGCTGCCACTTTTTCACAACAATTTTATCGATGCGACCAGCTCTATTCATATAGCCAAGCTATATTTGCTTTTCTGTTCGTTGAATGAAAGCTTTCCTAATCCTCATTGAAATCTTTGAAAAGTGTAATCAATGCCGTAATCAGCAGCCCTGGCCATGGTATTAGCCTCCAAAAACTAATACACTGCCCCGAAATTTCTTTTGTCTGTTGTGGTCTGCATGACGTGAATTTCTCTTGTTGAGCCATGGTCGAAGAATGGGTGAACAGCAGTAAGGTATTAGTTTTTCATTTATAATACTACGAGGGCCACTGTCAGTGGAAGGGACGGTGGAAAGAGCCCCAGCTCTATTCTATAAGGCCTCAGCTTATAGAAAAATATTTCTGGAAATTAACTTGATGAATTTACAAAATGTAGCTGTACTTTTGCTAGCAATGCCTTTGGATGGATAATTTGATTGACAAAATTTAGACACTGAATATAAAGAGCAACAGTCATGAAATAATTTGTTTAAGCTAACGGCAGTTGTAAAAGTTGTTTTGTATGAACTGTATGTTTTGTAAAACTTTGATTCTATATGACCGTAGAGTCACAGGCAACATTCTCACATTATTTCTCTCAGTTTCTCAAATCAAATGATACATCTTATGTTTTTTTGCTGCATTACTCTAAAGTAAATCGCTCGCTTTATCGTAATAGAATCTCATTCGCGGGCCAAAAGCCTCATGGTATTAGAATTAATGGGCTAATACCTTGGGGCTCCATTACTGGGCAGCAAACCGCTGTATCAAAACATGATTTCGCTCGAGTAATTTGCCGCAGCCATAATTCATTTGTATTTCGTAGGACCGATCCTTCACCCAAAACTAGTAGGATGAACTACATTACCACAGGGTCATCAGTGTCTGGGGGGAGACAACGGGGGCCAGTGCCTTCAAATAATTTTGTAAGATATGGTATTGCCAAAAGCTATTTTAAACCATCATATCGAAAAGGTCATTTTGCCCACCTTCTTAAATAAGAACATATAAGCTCCACCCCTGTTAAATAGTTTCAGGCCCTTGCGGAGGGACCTTCTTATGTCTTAATTTCGGAGGCTAATACCAATACTTTTCTACTCCCAGCCGCCCCTATCAAAGTGGTTTGTTTACTTAACTCAATTTTCACTAGTTTTCATTATAAAGAGTCATATTGAGAATGAAGGAACTGTGTCTCAGGAAAAGGTTGTCCATACAATAAACACCTGTTGAGCTTGATTTTGCTAAAAATGCATTGAAACTCGATAACAATTTTTTTGATGCGAAAATAAAGATAAGTTGTAGCTGTAAAACTTACTGAATGTGCCCAACCAGCATATTCCCCATAGATGCCTCTGAAGTGGTCACCTACAATGCAGTTCCATATCATCAAAAAATTAATGAATGACTCATACAGTATACAATAGATTGATTTATATCAAGAAACAAAGTAATAAACTCTTATTTTTAATGGAAAGCTAACCATAATAAATATTTACTTCAAGTGAATTTAAAAAAGTTATAAATATTAAATACTTTTACAGGCAATGTGCTAATTGAAGATAATACTCCCAGGGGGGTACTCCCATTAAGGCCTGACAGGGGGTCTAGTGGATTTGAGGGTCTTACCAAATTGCTACCAAATGGCCAAGTTTCAATAAAAAAACAACAGCTTAGTTAAGCTTGCAACTTGTTATAGACAATGAACAAGGTTTTATCTTTACCAGACCAACAACAGTCAATGGCGAAAAAATTCATCAAAAAAGGACCAGGCCCATACAAAGAAATGGATGCTACCAATGACATAATTTCCGTCCTAATGCTAACATTTGAGGGTTATTGTCAAAAAACACTACCATTAGAGGGTAATTTTTTAACATTTTAGCTTTTGCCCTTATTGACCTCGACTGGACCCCCCTGTTAGTCCATAATTGGAGTAACCCCCAGGGTAATACTGTCTCTGTATATAATAAATTTCTACTTAGAAGCAATTTATTATAAAATGTTAATTGTTAATTGAAAAGAAGGCAATAACAACAGACCTATCTCTTCATAAATCTTGTCTGTCAAACTTTTATACTTCTTAAGATGTGGCAGGTAATCTCTCTGAGCGATTTGCCACATGTGTGTATCAACTGGAACTGCCTCTGTTTTATCTAAGGACATGAGGCAAACACAGTCTGCAACCTTTGCCCCAACACCTGGAAGCTGACATAAAGCTGCAAATAAATAAGATTGACAAGGTACAGTTTTGTAATGCAAACAACATTCATAACATTGCAACTGTTTGTCCAAAACAATTTTTTATTTTAAAAAATAAAAACTTTGTATCATTAGCTACATCTGACCAGTGACTGGATATGCCCATTCTTAGCAGTTTGACTAGTGTAGTGAAATCCCTTTATGGTTTTTGTGAGTAGCCTTTGTTTCTTGTGTCAAGGAAAAATCTGATTTTGGAATGATTTTTCTTATTCATGTGGAATTGAGTGGAAACATCCCTATAAATCCACCAAAAATTATTGCCATTCCACCTCATATATCTAGTGCCATGTAATACAAACACCAAATGAGAAATTTGTATTTTGGGATCAAAATAGATCCCCCTTCTGAGAAGAAAAAAAATTAAATCAGGTTTTCTGACCGCTATGGGCTTCTTTGTAATCAACAGCTCTCAAGTGATGAAGCCAGCCCTCCTTCCCTGTTTCCAAAATTTTCTTTGCACACTGATAAATAAATTTTGCTCTATACCCAAAACTCAGTTCCCTCAACTTCTGTTCAACACTTTCATTTGACAAAGCAGCCAGTGATGGGAATGAATGGTAGGCCTTTCCTTCTAGCTCGCCAATGTTATCACCGTAATTACTACAGAGCTTTTCGACCATCGAGGAAATTCGTGATATGTGGTTGTTTTGAGAGCAGATGAAGCTGAACAGATTCTCAACTGGGTCTTGTCTCAGCATTCTCAATCCACCAAAATTATTTGCCAGCCTATTGAAAACCTCATCATTTTTACTCCAACTCTTATAGAGCCTTTCAAGATCAACGTCCAACTGAAAATAGTCCCGCAAAATTGCCTCTTCGAGATCGTTGTTGAGAACGTCCTCCTGGCCAACAGAGGTTTCTTGTTGCTTCGAAGATGTAAGGTCATGTTCTTCTCTTTTTTCTATATGAAACGGTAGAACATCAGTACGTTTACCAAAGCTTTTGTAAAATATCTGCTCAGAAGTCTGTTTTAGAAACCAAACACGTTTACCAATAACGCCATTCCATTCTCCATCATCATTCTTTGACCACCTAAAGCATTGACCACAGGCCAACACAATATCCAAATTCAGCAAAGCTTTCGGACAACTGAATGACTTCCAGCACAACTCTGAAACACTCATAGTTATGACTAATGATTCAGTCTTCTTTACGAACAGTTGCTGGAAACATACACGAGAAAAACGATACTAAAAAACAAAAGAAAAGCGAGCCCACGAACAGGAATATCAGAGTTACAGCGTCGACCATCTTTTGGCGGGAAGCCTCATTTGGAGGGTATCGAAAATGACAACGAGGGAGTAAAAATAAACCGAAATATTTATAAGGATCTTCAGGTTCCTTCGGAGAGAAGGAAACAAACATCAACAGAGGAAAGAAAAATAAATAGAAGGTTGACATGAAATACGAGAGACACGGCTTGAATAAACTGAGGGAATGAGAGGCACAAAGAAGTAATGAAAGTGTGAAAGACTTCCAATTTATTCCAAGAGAATGGGTGCTTCCTGGAAGGGTAGCCTGCTTGCAGACTCAACTATGGGGAAAGTAAAATGCAAAATTTTAGAAACAGTGCATAGTCTAAGATCGATAACTCGGTACCTAGACGTAAAGGGGGTCAGTCTGAAATTACTGGATCCAACTTTCACCAAAAGTAATATTTTTGGAAAAGAGACGATATTTTTCAATACAAAAAGAGCAGATGCAATTTTGATAGTTCTAGCTATTGACGTAAAAAAAACTGATTCTCTTCTGCTCTGACGAAAAATCCATATCTGCGCCAAACATAATGTTTTGCATCTATTTCAAATAACTTTTACCACATGTACTTGTGTTGAGCTGTTTTCTCCTAAATCACAATATGACTCTATTGAAACTGATCTTATACTTTTTGGGCGACATATGAAATTCTTAGAAGATCCATGTCCCAATGATCTTTTGAAACTTGCAATAATTCACTAATATTTATACATGGAAAACTTTTAAAAGGACTAAGGGTAAAGCCAGGGGCGAAACTGCTTGGGGATTAAAAGGGATATACTTAATGACCCTCGCTCGGGGTCCCCGGTGATTTCAACCCTTGAGGCGATGTGCCCTAAAAATGTTGTTCACACATGACACGCCCTTTCATCAAGCATGACACGCCCTTTTGTCAGGCATCTAACTACATACCCCCCAAATGAAAATAGTGAAGTTTCGCCTCTGGGTAAGACATTGTTTCATATTTTCTTCATAAGTCATAAGGCATTGTTTCATATTTTCTTCAACATTCACCAAGGAACTTGTCGGCTAAAGTTATTTCGTCTCTATATACAACAGTAGCTCTTAATGAGTTATCGAGATAGCTACAAGAATTAAAGCTAAAGTGACTAAGATTTTTTGAGTCCATCAGTTGTCTTTCATTGTGCTTTTATGATAATTACTCTGTATTCGGTTTCTAAAAATTTTTACCTTCTTAATATTATATTTAACTTCACTTTTCAAATATTTACGATCGTAATTACATTTCTCAAGCACAGGGCTCCCTTTCTAAATCAGATTCAGCTGAAGGGCAGCACTCCGTGAAATTGAATTACGTTACATTAAGTGAAATTGAAAATTAAAAATAATTATTCATTTGAAGTCTAGCAGCCTTTGAGGTTTTCAATAACATACGATATAAACAATGTTCCATGCAGAGTGCAATTGCTAGCTTTTCGGTTCGAAAGCAACCATACATAACACACAAGAAGCATCCTCAAAGAACGAAAGCTAACGTGGCATTTCCCGTTGTTTGCTACACAATGTGTCTAGCATACTGAACTTTCCAACCATCATAGTCAAAGTCAGAAAAGAAAAATCCAATTTCCTTTCGCGCAGTGTTGTCACAATCTGTGGAGACAACGGATATTGAATTAGTCACATAATTAAAGTACGTAGGATATACTTATAAAAAATGAAAAATTATATGAAATATGGAAAAATTATCTTTGTTTCTGGCAGTATATCAGGCAACAAAAGCATTAGCCTGTATAACTGGTGCTGATAGAAGGATCCAGTCTCATATATTCCCGAAATGTCGAAAGCAGCTTTCAGCAGAATATACATTTCTTGAAATGAGCCAACACAACATGAGAATGATATGACATGCTTTAGATAATTTTCAATTCATTGCTCCAATTTAAAGATGAAAAACTACGGATTCCTGACGGGTCTCTGAAAAAACGAGAAAGCCAGTTCCCTTTTTCAGAGCAATGAGTCGAGAATTTCCTTATCTTGAAAACCATTTAGATAAAAGTAAATAATTTTTAAGTTTTCATTTAAGATTTATTTGAAGCATATACAATGAGAAAGATCAACATGTCTGTCGGATTGGATGAATCTTGCGATGTGTAATTAAGTAAAATATAATAGTCAGGAACAAAATAAAACGATGACGAGAATCCATAAATTTCAAAAAAGTTTTAAATTGCAACATGCATGCGAATGTAAATGGAAAAGTTGCAAGCTGCTTGGTAGTGTATTGGATACAAAAAATGACATCAATAAATGCAAAGGTCTCGCCATTCTATCTGCGAACACATTGATTCATCTTTAACAACAAAAACCTTAGCATAAACAAAAAATTAAAAGCCTTTAACAGCTATGTTACGTTCATATTCCTATGCAACTCAGAACTCTGGACACTAACAAAATCACTTGAAAAATATACAGTTTTCATAAGAGATCATTACGAACATACATCTTTGACATAGTTTATCCAAAAATAATGAAAAATGATCATGTCTACCAACAAACCAATCAAACCCCATGGAGTAAATCATCGAAAAACGTCAACTCAAATCGTTAAGACATGCACTCGTTTACCAGAACAAACCACTGCAAAGCTAGCCTTAGCATACGCGGATGAAAAATACACAGGACCAAAAGGCCGTCTAAAACTGACGAGGCTGTTAAAAAAAACCTACAGGATTTATATAAATTCAAAAGATAGACTTGCCTTGCAAAAACATTTCAACTGAAAACTTGTGTTACACGGGTGAATCTATATACGAAAAAAGTATCTTACAATAACAATAAAAGTACAATTGGTTTTACAGAGTACAAAGATGACTTACCTGACCCATGTCCTACGTTGCGTGTGTCTGAGATTCCATACAGCGCTCGTATTGAATATGGTTGTAGTTGACGTGCTCTGATTGCAAGATAAAAATTGAAACAAATGCATGAAGTAATCTTGAATGTGTTTGCTTTTAACAACCTTTGATTAAATAATCAGATTATCAAAATACATGATAGTAAACTATATGACAAGGCAAATAAAAACTCTTCACACACCTGAATGTTTTTCGACACATACTACACTCTTATCGTGTATATCAAAATTTTTCAATTTTTCAATTATTTTTTTCTTGTCGTTATAAAGATTTACATGGGAAACAACGCTTAAATATGTTCAAAACTCCGATAAAAAATCATTCAACCAAGCTGTCGCGATAATCAAACCATAGTCAACATTAACTAACAGATCATTAAGTTTAAATGCTGTCACATATATTAATAAGATGCATACAACAAACTGCCATTACATCTCTTTTAATACCCCTTTTGCAAAATTTAACAGGCAGAAGCGTGTGTAAAAAAATCGATAGTAAAGATGGGATGGATAGAAAAAAGCAATCCTTCATAAAGTAAAATTGCCCGTGCTGCAGTTATGCTCTTAAAGGACATTCATTGGTCACAGACTGCAAATAAATGCGTTGATTATAAAAATTGCAACTTCGATCCATATTCAGAGAGCTTTGAGACGTCTCCAAAAGTATGCTTTAACACTTCATAATAATGATTTTTGTAGCATTGAGAGAATAAAAAATTTTCTTAACAGCAAAACAAGATGTCCAGAGATATTGAAATGATTTCCGTTTGTGTTACTCCAGGAAGCATGTCAGTTGAATTGGTCATTGAGTAAAGTTTTCCATGTATAACAATTGGTCAATCTCGTAGAAGTGGGCCGAGATCGAAATGATGATTGCTGTTAATGGTCCTCTAAAAATTGAACCTCCTGAAAGTATCATTAATGATAGCATGAAACAACATTGTAAGGAATCTGGGAAAATCGATAAAACAGACTGGCATTTTGTTCGTCGCCCAGAAAAAATTACGGACACAAATGCATCAAACATTTTGGAATGAATGAAAAAATCAAAGCCAGAATTGTCTTTTATGACATAAGGCAAAAACTTCTTTGATGTCTTTTTTGCTATACTTTTTGATATAGCAACATATACATGATACTTCACATAAACCTTTGAGCAGTAAAAGTGACACATGAAAAAGAACTGCAACTGAATGTCATTGTTCCATATTGCTGTCACTGTTCCGCAGTAAACAATTACTACAAATGGCTTATAGCCAAAATGTTTGCTAGACAGAAATCAGTTTACTGATAAGATCTATTTTCTGCACCCATGTATGAAGCTTCATCGACCCTTAGTGGTTGTCTTTCACTTTAAAAATATATATATATATATATATATATATATAAAAAGACTCGCGGGCACAATTTGCAAAGCAGTTTGTGCTTGCAGGCACAAAAACCTTTTAGGGAGGGCTGCAAAAAACATAAAGAAAATTGGTGGTACTTGAATACAGGCTTAATGCAAAAAGCACCAATCGGTTTTTATACATTGATGGTTTATGTGAAGATTGCGTTCTAAAATGATTTCTAGATTAGGAAATTAAGATTCAGCTATATAATTTTGATAAAAAATATTGATTCTCACCTGTATGGACTTGTTGGACCCAACATTTCTCTCCACTTGGATATAGCATGCTCTCTCTCAAGAATTAAGGCTATCATCTCCCCACTGAGATAAAACGAACAATAGAAATGAAAACATTTATTTGGCACAACAACTTATGTCCATGAGAGAGCTGTGTGGTGGGGAGGGGAGGGGGAATGGGGACAAAATTTGGTGTGATAAGCTGAGGAATTCGCTCAGTTTGCTCTGTAAATACAAAGAAATAAATACAAGGAAATACAAATAAATAAGAAATACAAAAAAATAAATGTATGTGGAACAAATAACCAATGCACTGGAAATTCTTAAATTGTTTTACAGGCAACAAACAACTTTATCACTGACACAAAAGTTTAAGTAATGAGAGTATCAAAGCTCTATAAAGTCCTGACTGATCAATTAATGTAGAATAATTCCACCTACCTACTCATAAATGTTGTTAATCTCTTGTAGAAGAATTTGCCTGAAATTGATATTGAATATATAATTTATAAAATAAATCAGAATTTATTAACATCAAGAACGGCTCAAACAAAATGTAACCATGTATTATATGGTAGGTTAAAAATTACTCCTAAAAGAGTGAGTCAAACAAAATTAATTTAGTGTAAAATTAAGAATAAGATTGCTAGGGTTTCAAGGCTGTTGCTAGCTATCTGCTCAAGAGGGTGCTTGGGTTCCATTTCCAAAAAAATTGGATGAGAAAATCATTTACTTGCCTGAAAATTTGCTGACCAACCACCCCTTCATAGCAAACAATTTTTTGCTGTGGATCTTTCTCTTACTGAGACCACAAATACAAGATTAAAAATTTTCTGCTTCACAGTCATAGGAAAGATATCTTAAAAAGAGGAGTTGAACTTGTTAAGGATTTCAAATGTGAATACCTGGCCAACTAATAAGGAAAATAATAGAATCGGATCCTGTGTAAGTAGCATTTCAGTTTTCAGGGATGGATTTACAGAGGGTGGGGGTGTTTTTCTTTGGGTAAATTTTGTGATCTTTAATCATTTTATTTTATTTCAGTAAAAAGCATTTTTTGTAGTTAGCAGTAACTAAATGGTGCGAAATTCTTTATTTACAAGATAAACTATAAATTTTGAAAATAGGTATTTCTATCAGTTTCAAGTCACAACTTCCAAAAATTGCTGCTTAAATCCATCCCTGATAATTTTGCATGATATGTAAAGAAATTCAAAATATATTAAAATAAACTCTATTAAAATATATTAAAACTAACTTTACAGAAATATTTGAAAAAGATGGGTTTCTGTCAATCTCTAAAACCAAAGATATGACACTATTATTGAAAAAAGGTTATTCTGCTATTGAAATGTGCTTATATAAAAGAGGGACCATAAATAGATCAAAAGTCCTGAAAAGCTGCTTCTGTCTATTGACGTGCTTAACAAAATTACCTAGCCAATGTTTAAAACAGGAGAGCTGCTAATTTAGAGATAGACCTAAAGAAACAACTAAACACTAACACTAATAAATCATTATGTGCTAAGATGATTTACTGTCTATCTAATAACTGAATAATATTCTAGCTATAAAAACAGTCAATGTTCCATAGCTTCTAACTTTCTTTTCATTTTGTTAGCCGTTTCTTTCAGGCTGGAGCATCAAGAGGGGGTTTGGAGGGGTAAAAGGTCTGGAACCTGTGTCTGATGAAGTCTGTAAAAATCTTACAACATGTTACTATCAGATTGCTACAAGGTCTGTTTACAAAGGTCTTTTGGGGGGAAAGCATTTTCTGCAACCAGTGGTCCCGTGATTTTGATACTTTTTCTACCTGGAAAATTGCCCTCATATTTGTATTTCCTTCAGATGATTGAAGCATCAGATTTTTATTTTCCTTATCATTATAATAAAAATACTACGTCATATAGTAGAAGTACTTACCTTTATGAATAGCATAGAATTGTTCTGATTCTTCATGTGTTAACCATTTTTTCTTTGATTGCAAACAACTGAATCCATTAGATCTTAACAAACTCAAAATTTTCTAAAAGAGAATATTATTTATAGGAGAAAAACAAACAAAGACTTTACAATGAATGCTTACATTTTAGGTTAACAAATATCAAAGAAAGAAAAGTTCTCATTGGAATCGCTGAATGAAATTGCTCAAAACCTCAATGTGAATGTGCTTAGATAAGAGATATCTGAAGCCACAATTTTAAATACTAACAAGCATTGCATTGAGAAGGATTATATGGCATCACTTGGCACTCTTTCTCTGAATTATGATAGAAAGACTTCGTATTTGAATACTGAACTCAACCTGTTGGCAAAACAAATGAGTGTAACCAATATTCTCAGTGGCAAATGTTGAGGTCTTGCATGCCATGCATAGCATGACAAACAAATTTTCCAGAAAATAATTTTGTAATTAAAGATAAAATTTAATAAATATTTCAATAGATGAAGCTTTTTACATTTAAATTTCTCCAAAGTCTAAAGTTTAATGTAAATTTAACCAGGAAGTATGGTAGATCGCAAGAAAAGTGTTTTTATATTATATACCCTGTGAAACATTACCCTGTAAGAAATAAAGCAGAGGAGAAATGAGGAAATGAAACAGCTTTATGGTTTTTAAAGATTGATGGAACAAAAATTAATTGGTGATGAACAGAGTGTTTCTGTTGTTGACTATGTTTGCTAGAATTTAGGCCAGTCAATTTCAATGAAGATTGCTATACTAAGATTGATACAACTTGCACAAACTAGGCCTTTTACATTGGGGAGAAACGCTATGGTTTCAACAAAAACAATGAAACAAACTTCCTTATTATAATAACAGTTGGTTAATGATGATTGGGAAACTCCAGATACTCCATGTTTTGGTGACAGCTACCCATAACATGCCAAATGTACATAATATGTAGCCTGAAATATTCAGACTGAATGTCTCTAGAACTTGTTGTTAAAAAAGAGACACAAATGCCCCATTGTGTTGCTCAATAGAGCCATGCAATACAATCTTGAGATAAAATGAGGTATGAAATTAGAGCTCTTTGTGTCTTATTTTTTCAGTCTTTATCTTATCGTGATATTTTTGCTATTGATGTTGTGTGATATGAGAGTAGTGGGATTGTTTCAGCTCTAGGAGAACTCTCTATTTGCCCCTAGGAGAATTTGATATGCCCCTTGTCTTTACCCTATGTTCAAACACCTTTGATACTGGAACCCATTTTGTCTTGACAATTTCCTATATCAATATTTCATTGATGATCAATTGTAAAGTTTCTATCAAATCCCCTAGAAAATTTTGAATAAAGAAGCAAAGCTTTTGCATAATTGCATAATACAGAAATCTCCTTTAACAATGAACATTGACTAGGAGGCATTAATTATTTATTTGTAAGAATAGCTATTTGTTACTTGTAAGTACAATAGCTCTAAGTAAAGAATTAGGGAAGGATCATCAAAAGTACATTTATCTTGCCATGTATCAAAGCAAGGCCATTTAGATGCTCAGTATAATGTTGTGCGAATCAAATTGAAATGTGTTATTTAAAAACAACCTTTCTTTAGTATCTGACAGTGTTATTTAAAAACAACCTTCCTGTTTTGGATTATTAGGTGAATCCAAAACAACTCTTGAAACAGTAAATATGAATACATTTTAGATTTTAAATAAAATATTTGATAACAAATTGAATTTAGAATTTAAAAACAAGTTTAGCATCTAAAACCAAGGCTTCTTTAAAACATGTCTCACTGAAAATTGTTGTTTGCAAATTATTAACATTTTTATGCCCACCTATGAGTTTTTTTGGGATTTCACAATAGCTGATAACAATTTTTTCAAGGGAACTGATCTGACCTTAACTTGAATTGGGTAACTTGCTGTGGTGCCAAAAACCGAAATTATATATTTAATCTGTCCAAGTGCATGACCGGAGCTGGTTTTGCCACTGATAATTTCTGGAGTTTATATCTAAAGCATATAAATGACTTCTTTTACCCTATAGGTGAACCAGAATCTAGCAAAATGATCGCTCGAAGTATTTAAAAGATTTAATTTAAATCATAAGGATCTAAGTTGCATGAAAAGCAAGGAGCAAGCATTTGACTGTAAAAGAGTACGACTGTGTACACATTTTACCTGGACTCTATTTCCATGGATGCAAATGTCCGGCTTCAAAATTGCCAGCGTTAATTGCATAGTTTGAAAAATGCAAAAAAAAATTCTAATGAGGCTAGCACATATGTAACATTTCAGCTGGCATATCTTCGTTCTGAGGAGTAACAACTAGCCACTAGGCCTTCCCTTCCACGTGAAACAGTCGTCTCGTATCCACTCTGAGGCAAGGGACATAATTCCTGGAAATCCGCTGGTCTTTAAGACTTTTCCAGGAAAAAATCGATTATCTATCATTTAAATGGACGCAGTGTTGGGTTTCAAAATTTCAAATGATTTGTTGTCCTGTGGTGGAATAGGAAAAATTGACAGTTGTTTGGAGACAAAAAATATGCAAAAAGTTTAATCTTAGGGTATTCCAAAGAACTTTGGTAGAGTTTGCGGAGCTTTAAGAGTTCCAGTGAGGTTAATTATGGTCGGTTAACTATTTAATATTTACCATTATTGGGTCGTACCATGTTCTTACAGTGAAAAAGTAATCAAACCAAAGTTTTGGCTGTTATGAATACATTCTGCTCTCCAACACAACATGGTTTTCGTTAACTCCTTCTAAGCTCCTCTTGTAAGATTTTCATTTTATACTGGACATTTACAATTAGTTATTTTCTAATGCATCTAGCGCTGTTATAGAATTAAAATGCTATATGAAAAGCGAGCCCGAATCGGTCAATGGTATGTTCAGGGTATTTGAAAACAAAACAGATGATCAGTACAGTAGCCTCCTGATTACCATTTTCTTGGCATAGTTCAAATTAAAAAAATCAACTATTACGTTTCATTTAATTAACATGTAATTCTAACTAAGAGTAAGAAAAATTAAGACCATTAGCAAACAAGCAAATTTGAATTAGATTCTTCAAATTTCTTATCGATTGTTAATGATAAAAAAATCAGCAACATTGCAAAGACTCCAGGACAGGGTCCTAAGTTTTCCAGCAAGTTTTATAAATACCTTATAAAGTGGAATATGGCAGTCGAACGTAGAAATTTACAACAAAGAATTTAATCGCTTTTTCTAGGTTCTGCCTCTGACAACATAACAGAGGCCCCCCAAAAATGAGGGAAGAGGGGTTTCGGAGGGGCCATGGTTCCCAATATTCAATGAAGCTAAATGATAATTAGACAAAGCTTTCGCAACGAGTTCCTGAGTTCACCCTAAACTTCTAAATTTAATTTTGACTCCCTGCAATACAACTTAAAATAGGACTCTGAAATGGAAAATTTCAATGAAAGCATCCGGGAAAAATCCGTACAAAATGTGTTAACCAAGTTGGAGTTTGCCATCCTGATAAGCCCTCCAAATTTTAGTGACATTTCCATTCTTCGAATTACATAAAAAATATATTCTCATACCTGTCAAAAAAACTTGCTACCTAACAAATAAATGCAGTAATCACCTAAACTAATAACTAACATCTCATCTACATCTACCAACAAAAATAGAAACAAAACAACATTTATAGGTTGGAATAAGGTTAAAAATGAGATATGCGAGCAATACAACATACGTGATTATACGTCAACAGTAAAAAAATTATTTTACATCTTTATATCCAAATTGAAACTATGAAATATTTTGATTCAACTTCAATGATTATAAAAGTATTAGCAATTCTTATCGTGACATAAGAAAATAAGTTATTTAATTCTTAAAATACCAGTTGGTGCTTATTTGTTACTGCCCAATGTTCATTTGTTAATGTCATCCATTAATATCGCCGTTCTGAAAGATAATTTAACAGGTTATGACGAAAAATATCATTTATGGATAATCAAAACAAAGGTCTTTGGAATAAAAGCAAATAATTTACACGAGAAAACCTGGACGGAATAGGTGCTGATGTTTAAAAGCGAAAAAGGAGGTACAAAACTAAACTTCAACAGAAACGGAACAATATGTAGAGAACAGCAGACGGAAAATACTTACAAGAGAGTTATCTGCTGATCGCGTTTTTAAAGAAGCATTTAGAATTGACATTTCTGTGAGAAATGAGCTTCTGATCTGAAAAAGATCGTTAAATCGTTTTGAGGATCACAAAGCAAATTAGTAAACAGAGAAATTAGTAAAAAGAGAGTCAAGACCCTTTCATAACAGCATGAAAAGAGTTAAAAATCAACCTTTCAAAACATCACTTGATCTGTACAGTTCAGTTCAGTTCCTTTTATTTCAAAATTCACAATCTACATATGACATTAAATTTACTACACTACAAATAACTAAGCCACACAAAGTTACAATAATAGAATTCAATAAAATAAAATTCAACGACCTTAAACATTTAGGTAAATTTGTAAACAGCAAACCTATCAAAAGGACGAGCTCTCTCAATTGGTAGACTAATTGAGGAAAGAACACCCGTTTAGTTAAAAAAAAATTAGTTTTTTAGGTAGCAAACAGCTTTTTGTGAAATTATTATTGTCATTAGAACTGACAACACCGGATAACGCAGCATCCAACAACCCCAACAAACCTGCCAGCACAAACCCTGCCAGCACAGACATTAATGCGCATAGAAAAAGGGTGTTTTAGTCTTATATATTACACATAATGTTGACAGGGCTTTGTGCAATGTCTTTGTGAATTCGATAAGTGGCTACAAAAAAGTGACATCTGATAAGAGAGCAAATCATTTTTCTATCTTAAATCTCTCAAAAATCGCAACCATAAACTAGTTGACCTAGACTAGTGACCTGTTATATGGTGTAATTCCATATCTTTTTACGATAGATAAAAAAAATAACCGACTTGATAAATTCACTGGATACCGAAAAATGAAGCTTTTGTCAAAATCTATTTAAAATATAATTGATTTGATCATACAGAAACGTGTGTATATTATACAAAGACATGAAAAAGCATTGCGCCGTACCAGCATCAGTCGATAAACCATTACAGTTGAGAAAGATTATGAAATAATTGCGAAAGCTTATGCTTACCCTTTCCATGCTTTCATCTATGTACGTTTTGACTCTCTCCTCCTGCTCTTTAACTTCCTTTCGTAAGGACGACATTTGTCCCACTAGATATTCAAACTGGTTTGTATCCACAACAGATACCAAGGAGTCAGTTGGTGTGCTACTCCGTGGTCCAGATTTCGGTGATGCACTAGTTCCAGATACCACCCCCAATAATGCATTACCCATTGTGTTCTCATTAAATTCTAAACAAGCATGTTTCCTTTCGCAATCATTATATTCCCGTACCGCTGCTGATTTGGATACATCATTCTCATCTTCAAATCCACTACTCTCTACACTAAAACCTTTTGATAAACCTTTTGCCCTGCCTCGGCTCACGTTCTCTCCCCTGGCCTTATTATCAGCATTACCATTTGTATACGCAGCGCCACCTTTTTTAGTCACCAGATAACTGCAATGATATTCGAGCGAATTTTCCGTTTGTGATTGGTTTACTCCATTTCGCCTTTCGAATTCTCCAGACGTTCTTTGACATGGATGACCAACTGTTCCTGATTTTGAACCAAGACTGTTTAATTCTGAATTTAAGAGCTCCTCTCTACTGACCTCTTGCTTTGTCAAACTTCTTAACTTTTCTGACCTTCTGGATCGGTAAGTCTCATTTCGATCCACGTGATCTTCTAAACAACTTTGCGAAAGTGCCTGAGTGCTGGGTGATTCTTCTTCACATGTGAGATTTTCATGGCTTTTACACATACGATCACCATTTAGTAAATTAGCATTATTCAAACTCTCTAGAGACATAAAGCTGCGGATCCGGCCGCTTGCTAGCCTTCGCAAATAATTTCTAAGCCTTGACGGCTTTTTCGTCGAACTTTGCGACGTGCCTCCCAAACTGAGAGACTCATCTCCGGTGAATACTTTTTCGACAACATCAGACTCCACTGAGACTGTTCTTCTTCTCGAAATAAATGGGATGTTCTCTATTATAGCCTCTCCATGTAATTTCAAGCTCTCTCCAAATCCTCTTTGGTGACTACTCTCCGTCTCTCGACTGTCTCCATGTTCGGGGGTCTTAAGGTTTTCTATTTTCCCAAGAGACCTATAGACAACCCTTGATGGGGTGTGAGGCTCCATACCATTATCTTCCTCTATATGGTCTTCTCGCTCTTCGTGGTTTTCTATTGAGTCTGTTTCATATTCAGAATGTGCTGATTTATTATCGTCATTTATAGATTTTTCGAGAGAGTCATCAGAAAAGTTCTTTTCTTCCTCTAAAGGAACTTCTATGACCTGTAATTTATCTTCCACGGAGTCCTCGATGCTATCATGATATGAATGGTCTGAAATTGTCGAGAATTCGCTAGGATCAACTCTATCTATATTATCTTCAAATTTTTGTTTCTTTTCGTCATATACTTCTAAAATTTCTTTATCCTCTTTGGAATCTCCACGAATTTTTTCACCAGAACTGGGTGTCCTTTCGGTAAAAATGTCATCTTGGAGATAAACTTTTTCCTCGTCGTCAAAAATATGCTTTCGTGTAACTATTCCATTGTGATTCTGGTAACCCACGGGTTCACTGAATTTCTTTGGAGTGCTTTTAAATTTTGCCTTATCCAGCCCGTTTAGTCCAGTATTATTGTTCCTATCCCACCGAAATAAATCCTCTTGATCCTCCAAATCATCATCTAAAATGTTTTTGTAAGACGAAATGCTTGAACTTTTTTTACATTCCTGAGTATTGGAATTTTCTCCAATTTTTTCCGCTTTTTCTGCTTCTCCTTCGCAGAATTCATTTCTAGTTTCGATTCCAACTCCCAGCCCATTGTATTGTTTTGAACAATCAGGCAGCAAAGTTTCCTGTTTCGATCCATTCGTCTGCCTACACTTTCCGATCACGCAATTCACATCAATACTTTCTTTTCGTTCAAAAACATTGTCATCTGATTCTACACTGGTAAACTGTTTATGGTCTTTTCCAGGTAGCCTCCCCTCATTCAATCCATTAGCAGAAGCGGGGGCAGTTTCTTTGACATCGACTTCGAAACGTTCTTGCTTAGATAGCTTGGCCTTTTCCTTTGAAAAAGATCTGGAGAAGCTTGACTTGCGACTGCTCGGCTCGTACTCCTCTTCAACAGTACTCAATCTTAGGTTTCCAGGTACACGTGTCGCAGAAGCTTTATCACTAGATGAGCCATCACGGTCATCATAATCATCATTCACAGTTATTGACGGGACTGATGACTGTCTGAATTTCAATCTTCTCATTTTCGCAAGTAGTTTATCATCCGAATTAACCCATGATAGATCTATGCTACTACGGGTGAATCTACTGCCTAAGACATTTATTCTTGTACTCTCCAAACCCCTTGCTTTCTGAAAAGCAATAAAAAACTATATGTGTTACAAAGGTAGGGACAGAGAGTTTACTCTCGTACAACAAACAATCTTGTGGCATGAATTGTAGGACTGCATAGAACTGTTATTTTTATTGAAAGATTTTTCTTACTAACATTCTTTAGAACAAGAAAAGAAAGAAATGGTGAAGAAAGTGAAATACTTAATTTCCTACAGTTAGAGGAATCAGTTCTTTTAGAAACTATTTATAAAAAGCTTAACAAATCTGTTTACATTCAGAATTTGTCTTGTCCGATATCAAATACACCAGGGCTGGAGACACAAGGTGCTAAAGAGGGAGGAGAGGAATCGTTTCTTTTTTACGAATGGAATTTTAAATTGATCTCATTTCAGACAACTTCGAAATTCTGTATTATTAACTTTTCAAATGCATTCAAGCTGACTAAAGAAAACAAAACAGGTTCGACCCAATCTATCAATTTTGTGCCACAAAATTACCTTAAAGGGCCGGTCTATGTCAAAAACAGCGGCATTCAGAACGAGGTAAATATTGCATGTTAAAAAGCTTTTGTTGGGGAAAATGGGAGGTGATATAATAAAATAAGGAAAAAATATAAAACTGTTGCTTAAAGTCGTTATGTTGTGAAAAAAATAACTGGAAAAACAATGCCAATAAACGAAAGTCTGTCTTTCTAGATGGACAAATGGGTTTGAATTTTATTTAGGACAGAGAGTTTTTGAGATTCTAAGAAACCGAACAGGTATAACATAAAATTACACACAGGAATTTAAATATTGACAAAAAGAAAATGACAATGCTCTTTTTGTTTGATTCTCAAAAACGAGTACCGACAAGTTTAACTGTGTTAGCACAGAAACAGAAATCTTTACAAGGTTCGTTAAACTTCCAAAAATAAATTTCATAATATACGTTAAGTATAAAACTTTATAAAAAATTGTGAAGAAAATGGCTAATTGTGTTTGCAACCAAAGCAAGTACAACATTGACTAACTGGAACTGCAAAAAACCTAAGCAAGCAATGGCCTACCTACATGTCTTTCAAACTGTTGTAACAAAAGATGTAAAAATCTTTGTACGTTATTAAATAAGGCTTGTGAAATACTACATTTGACAGACGATGAATTGCATGCAGGTCGGATTCAAAAAGGGGGGCTTGACTTTGAAAAGTCCCAGAAAACTGTATATAACTTGAGCAACTTGTTGCGAAATCGAAAGCATTTGACAAGTATTACACTTGATTACAGCACGGTTTTCCTAATAGTCAGAACATTTTATGGCATTATCTTTCACGAAAACATTCCCTCCTTGCTCTCCACATCACAATCGAATTTTTGTGGTTTCTATTTAATACCTAAAAATAAACAAGGAATAGAATAAATGACTAAACAAAGCATTATTACCAGATGATCCGCGTCGAGGAACTTGGAGCAGAAATCGTCGACATCGATACCGTTAGCTTGCGAAGGATTTATAAAAAACCGAGCAGGAATCCTATGATATGGGGTCGAAAATTCCTCACCAAATCCAAGGGAAGCCAACATATCCTCAGGGTCCATTTCAGTGGCAGCCAACAGCGAAGACACACTGTTAATGCTAAGGTGGAAATATCAAATCTTTACTAGGGCACATTTGAAAGTCAGTGCGTGAAACTGTTTAAACAGGTCTTTGAGAAATGTTAACAAAGACTTAGCATAAGAATGCATTTTCTTTCGCAAAAAACTGAAACAAATCTATTACCAAAGAGATATAACCACATTGTTTAATTATAGCGGAATGTTTACATTAGTGCTCTGCGCAACATTTTCTGCTTTAAAACAAAACCCTACCGCAAACTTTGCTAAATCTTTCGGGGGCGTAATAAGGCAGCTAGAAATACCAAAAACAAGAGCAGGGCATGGCTGGACCCAAGGAGTTTATCACTCATTTCAAATTCAAACAATATTTTTAGAACAATACGAATTTTAAGGATTTTGATGGGGGGTTTTGGCAAGTGACGTGCCCCTCGCAAAATCTACACTCGAGGCGAGCGAGTGTAGTTAGGCTCTTGTTTTTTTCAATAAGGCTGTTGGATGTCTTGTCAAGCCAAGGTTGTTCTTGCAAGGGGTCAAGAGAAACTTGCATTAGCAAACAGTGGCGCACCCAGAGCTGCAGAAGAGGGGGGGTCTGGGGCGAAGCCCCCGAAATTTTTTTAGACCACGCCCTTCAAACATTCGCAAATGCGGGGAAACGCCCTTTTTGCAAAATTTCCCCCCATTATTTGATTCATGTTAGCTACGGTTAATAGCAAAGTATTTTACAATTGTTATTGACACAAGCATACAGTATACTACACCCCCCCCAATGAGTTTTACATTGTTTTTGGACAAATCTCGAGGATCATATTTAGAAAAGTGGGGGGGGGGGTCCGGACCCCTCTATTCCCCCCCTTGGGTACACCACTGTTAGCAAATTAAATCATAAAAGTAAACTAGAAAAGCAGAAAAGAAGAAGATAAAGCAAACTTATAAAAGTAATGATGGTTATGTAACATCTAAAGAACATGATTTCATGAATGAACATACAGTACAATCCTGATAATCTGAACCTCCAAGGAACAATGAAAACTGCTCATACTACTTATAAAAGTTCAGGTTTTTGGGGGTATGAGAAATCAGCACTGCCAGCAGAATGAAGCTGCAGCTCCTACAATGTTATTCTAAATATTCCCAGTGAGTTATGTAAGAATTAATGTAATGAGGACCTATACCTTGAAAATGAATTTTGTCTGTGCTCGTACATCCATTCATTTTTAACATGGGCCATTGGCTTCTCAAGATCTTGGGCTTTTGGCATTGATTCAGTCTTTTCTTCGTAGATCTTTTCATCAATGCCTGCTGTGTCATCACTTATTATATGGCCATTGCTTTTGCTGAAAAACCATAACTTTACACATAACTGAACCCTATGTGGGAACTGAAATCATAGCTATAGGCATTTGTAGCACTGGGAAAATGCACATCTGGGAGATTGTTGATAACCAGACTTGTGGTACAAAAATATTATGGTATTAAGTTATCATGATAAACAACATCACAAATGAGGCAGAAAAGAAAAGACATTGCTCACAAAAATAAACTATATCATATCAATAAACATTCCCTATTGTACATAAAATATTCTGGAAAACTGATATAATGAAAGACAAGCTGGTTGTTAGATAAACATTTTGGACTCGCAGTATCCACCCATCTGGAAATGGTAAGTTTAGGGATGTTCATGTGTAAGCTATCTGTTTTTAAGGTGCTTGCTTTTTAGAACTTTCTGTGGTAAAATTAAATTCTCTATTCAATTCATTGAAGCCTTATTGTTTCAGCAACTGACACTACAACAGCTTATAGATGATTCAAATATTGTCATTTCCCAACACAAGACTGCTTTATCAATAATTATTTTCACAACACACAATTGACACTGACTCTGCTCGATTTTCACAACACACAAAGCTCAACAATTATAGTAAATGTATTTCTGAATGCGTCAATAATACCTTTTATTTCCACCATAAAATCAAGTTCATGTTGGATTACAAAACATATAAAAAGTAATTATATATAGCATGTAATAGTTGTCATTGCCAAAAAAAGATACTTACTCAGTAGTTAATGGAAGCTCCAATTTGTCATCTAGTAATGGAGATAGTCTTGGTGACATAGACAATCCTCTTTCTGAACCTTCATAAGAAATGGACCTAGCATCTGCACCCAAATGTAGCTCATCTTCTGTATAGAAAAATGTTCTAATGATAAATTTGGGCTCAGGTTTCCTTGTGTTAAGTGAACTGGATATGTCCTGGGCAATAATACAAAGAAACTTTAAAAATAACCTTAAAATGAAAATGAAAATGAGGGTGATTTTGATGTGGTAGTTTGAATTTTGTAGTCATTGGCCAGGTGTCCGTCAGCAGAATTTTTAGACTCCTAATGCCATCTAAAAAGCCACAAAAAAGAGAGCATTCTTGTTGCTTTAAATGAAATTCAATGGAGAAAAATCACAAACCTGTACCACAAGGAACTGGCAAGAAATGGATGTTACTGTATGTAACAGTTTCTATTTCTTGCGGGCTAGTTGATTGTCCTTCATTTAACTCATGCCAGTCACCTTCATTTAAACTGTCAATCCATTGCTGAATGCTTCCATTGCTACTCCCTGTCCAGGTTCCTTGAATCAACAATTTTTAATATTTTATGTCTTTTTAGAAGTGGGATTCTCATTCTAGCTTAAGTTTGGGAGATTTTAAAATCTGGTTTCAATGCTAAAAAGAGGATTAGTCTATTGGGTTGTGCTTTCATCCATGTGATTGACTTGGTGCAGCACTTTGGTATTAAAGAGAGAAATTAAAGATATTTTTTCTATTATGTCTTCTCATCACAAAAAGCACACCAATCAGTCAATATCCAAACTTTTGCAGTCGTCCTCAGAAATGATCAATGGGAAAGAAAAAACATTTTCAAAAAAACTTTGGAAAAATTAAGCTATGGAGCACCATATACTTTAGAACAAAAATCTTTGGTGCATAGTCCTTGGTGGGTCATCTCACACTATCAAGTTTAAGCACCCGTGTCTGAGGGTCTAGAAAACTGATCCTTATCTCTGATACTTGATTCCAATTTGATTCCCCTTTTCTTTGAAACAAAGAAAATCTAAACCTTTTTTCCTGAAATCAAAGAGTTGAAATGAGGCCAAACAAAGAAAAATTAGAAAAATTATTAAGATTCCTGTATCATACACCCTTTTTTCTATTTTCTATAACCTAGTTGGATGACAAAATTGAACCCCTTTCTCAGAGATATTCAAGACATGGGTGCTTACATTTGACAATGAGAGTGTACCCGCCAGGGCATAGTCAATGTCATATTCACCTGGGCTCTTAGTACACAAAATAGCTCATATTGCAAAAATTTCAAAATTGCATAAACAAAGCAGAGATTTAGCACAGAGCAAAACTTACTTTCCAATGTCTTCAAAGTATGAAGAGTTGGGGATTTTGGAGAAGAGTCTCCTTCCTCTTCATCTTCTTTCTTATCCATGAAACTTCCTCAGATATTTTAAACTACAGCTTCCTGTGCTTATAACTTTGGGTGAAATAATTTCCATGGTTTATATCCATTTTCAAGTTTGAGTCCTGCAAAAAATGTTTATATTTCTAAGAAAGTTGAAATTCTGTATGTTTTATTCTAAAATATCTTTCGAACGATTTCTGTGAAAAAACAAAAGTTCTCAAAATAACTCATACAAGCATAACCTAATTAAATTATGTCACATACTCAACATCAGAAATAAAATTTAACTTTGCAAATTGATTTATTAAAGCCAAAACAAATAGCATGGATAGGTAACAGGTATTTTAATTTAAAAGCGACATTTCCTCTTCTATGTGGGAATTCAATATACAAACTGGACATTAACAAACAGTTTTCCAGATATGTCACTGAAACGCACGAAGAATGCACATGTTTACTTACATTGCAAACAACAATTGTTATTTGATCAAACATACTGCATATATAGCTAATGTAGCTCACCTCGAAGCTAGAGCCATTGATAAATCATAAAGCTGAACACTTGTTTGCTAAATGTGTGAATTTCTAGCATATTTCGTGAAACAAACAATGAAAGTCCGCGAAGGGAAGTCGTAAACTTTTTCACTTCAATTTTTGAAAAGAGGTTCGCTTGTTGTCGTAAACGAGGCTGGTGTTCTTGCCATGGAGAGAGGACATCACCCCGTCCTATGGCCACCCTTGCCTCAAAATTTCTTTACAGAATTTTGGCAAAATTTCATTGGTAAAGTAAGAACTTTTTGCCGTTGGTTGGTAAATCGTTTTTTGTATCTGCTCGCGCACGTTTTTGCTATCGATATTATTTTCAATCGGAAAACACGAGAGGAAAGAATTGCAGATGTACTACTGAAGATTTTTAAATTTGTGTTGAAAGTTCAAAGAAATTTTCACTTACTTTGCAGTCAAGCAAGGGGGCCGGGGTGGCCGTACCCCCAACGTTTTTGCGAAGCAAGTAGTTTTAAAGCTGCAGTAAAGGGGGAAGATGCCTTGACCCTCTACTTTTGCTAGCCTTGCCCCCCGCGAATCCTATTTCCCAGCTTACCCTTTCAAGCCCCTCTTGTTAGCATTCCAAAATTTGCATTTTTTGACCCTACCTACGGCTCTGGTACTCAGGGTAGGTATTTTCCATAGCGAATGAAATATTGAAATGTATGCAAGGACCGAGATACCGGGGGAGCCGGGGGGCCTTGGCCCCCAAAAGAAACTTACGCTGAATAAGTAAAATACTTTTATTTTGCAAAATATGGCTGTTGTTATAATGATTTATCAGGGCTGCCCCCCCCCAAACAAAAAGTTGTATCTCGGTCTTTGAATGTATGCATTACCCTAATTTATCTTGGCAAATGACAGGCAAGTAACGGCTACTCATTGTTAATTCTGTTTTCTTGCACATTACCATAAAAGATTAATTAGTTTTTAACAATACTGATCCAAGATTTAACTGCAAACTTTAATTACTTCTTGAATGCTTTCTTCTGCTACATTTCGCAAATATTCAAAGAAAGCTATTTTTATTGCTAAATATTGTCTAAATATGAACTTGCCCTAGCATAACTACCTTTTTGGACCCAGACCCTTGGATTTTTAAAAAACGTGAAATATTTCTAAATAGACAAAACCAGTTAAATTTATCAAATAAGCTGGGGTGTGACCATTAAGGCGTAGGCTCTTTCTCCATCAAATCAATGCAATTTTGTTTCGGTTCTAAATCTCTTGAACTATGCAATAATTACAAAGATAGAGTAAACCATTCACAAACTTCGAATCTTAATTGGCCTTATCCCGCCAACTTTAAACATATATAACAGGGACACCGGTCACATTTTAGAGTGGGGGAGGGCTCCAGATACGTTGGCTACAGTCTTAAAATCATACTTCAGCAAAAAAGTTGCGTGGAGGCAGGCCCGTCGCTATAGGGGGCGTGTGGGGGTATGACACCCCTTTGAAAAAATTACCTTGCGAAAACGAGGAGTTTTTTTACCATCTAGGGGTACTTAGTCGGCAAATTAGCAAATTTGTCGGCAAATTAAGGATTAAACAGTAGTAAACAAGAAACACCGCAACGCGACGAGAATGAACAACAACAAACACACATAAGTCAGTTATGGCTAACATTTCACCCCGGCATACAGGGCTTCATCAGAGCAAATTAAGACCCCGTTTACACTAGAGTGTTTCATCCGGATAAATTTTTATCCGGATAAATTTTTATCCGTTTACGTTGTACCGGATAAAATTTTATTCGTTTAGCCCCTCCGTTTACACGGTGAAACTAAATGGTGAGTTTCTTAATTGGTCATGCGCACAACCCTTGATTTAAGAACGCGCGAAAATAATTTTCATTGATGTCAGAGTGAACACGTTGATATTTCTGTCATAAAGTCGACAATGCCAAAGAAATCGGAGAATACATCGACGGGAAGTAGCAAGAAGACTGATAAGAACTTCACATGGACAGATTAGGAAACTGCTTTGCTGCTCCAAGGTCTTTTCCAGAATCGGCGTGGTTGTCGATTTCTTCTTGAAGCTTTCAGAATACGGCTTATTCTTTGCAGCCGTGAATTGCTATAGTCAACTATTGATTCCAAGTTGCGTTGGCTAGCTCTATAGGATCTCTCAGATATAGCAGCTAGCTGAGCGTTTAGCCTTGCTGCAGCAGCTACTGAGCTTAAAAATGCAAACAGAGATAGTATGATGTTTTGAAGACTTTCATCCATGATAGTTCAGGAAACAGCAAAAATGACATGAAATATTAACAAAAGCGCGCCAATTTTTTCTCTTGCGCCGTTTCGTTATCATATTTAAATGGCCTCAATATGAAACAGAATAGCCTCACTGTGTATGCGTATAAAAATTTATCCGGATAAAACTGTTTACACTCCTTTTTGCCGGATAATTTTCTATCCGGACAAAAATTTATTCGCTTTCGTAGCAGGATAAATATTTGTACGGCAAAGCGGATAAATATCTACACGGATAAAATTCGCTCGTGTAGACGGAGAGCCTATCCGCATAAATTTTTATCCGGATGAAAACTTATCCGGATAAAACACTCTAGTGTAAACGGGGTCTAAGGATTATTCACCCACATTGTCGACAAATGGGACTTGGAAACCCCCTTGAGCTCAATAGCTAGCGACGGTCCTGGGTGGAGGTTGCAGCATCCTTCCCCGGGCTTCTACGTGCCCGTGTTGCCCTTTCAGGTTAGGCGATCGAAGGTATAAAATTCTAGAAAATTTTTCGAAATTTAGATAACCATTACTTTTCATTTACTGCGTGAATGCCACGACGAAAGCAAGAACTACAATTTAACTTGTTCTTACTATGAAGCTGCAAATTTAGTTATAAAAACAATTCAAGGACGTTACAACGCCCTTGTCGATGTGTCTGCCAAGTTTAACTCAAAACATGTGTCAGAAGTGTCTTCTTGATCTCTTGATATCAACGAGTCACGAATTTCACTGTTACAAAGAATTGATAGACCAACAGATAAATGTCCGTAAAGGGAGGAAGTAGCGAAACAGAGGCTGAAATAGTGAGCTTTGCTGTTCCTCCCTACTCACCGCGGCTAGAATCATTCATCAAACCATATCGTCAAATTAAGATCCCTGTGTCAATTCAAACACATGTTAGTGGAGTTGCTCTTTGTGTCGTTAAACTGAATTAATCTACCGGTAATCTCAGGAAAAAGAAATTCTACCAGACATAGGTATATTTTTATATAAAAACACTAGAATGAGAGGTTACTTATATGGTCAAGTAATGAAATTACGACGAAAGTTTCGAGACGGAATATGAATTGGATGTGGGGAAAATGCTGGCCTAAATCGCTCTTATACTTGCCAATTATTATGCTCAAGATATTCGTGCTATATTGGACGGTTTGAAAGACCACAATCTCGAACACCATCTGAATGATCTGCCTACATTGCAGACCCCGTTTCCAAACTATATTAACTAAAACGATCTTAAAACGATGGCTGAAACTTAACTATAATTTCCTCTCATAAAACGCGTGCAACTCTCCAGCTCTCACTCCCTAATTAACCACGTGCTCTTACCTCACCGGTAACAGAACAAAACGCTATTTTCTACATTTGATATGTAATATTCCAAACAACGATTCGATACAATAATAATTGACGAGAGTAAAACATGAGGAGAATTTAGAGTTATATAACAAGACTTTTAATGATACTTTCAACTTAGACTTTCATAAACAATCAGCATAAAATCCACATTTGTGAAGCCTTCAATTATATAAAGCACCTCTGGACATTAAGGCTTGCCATTTCCAATGCATGGTTGTTCCATGAAGATGGTCATACATTCTAAATCCAAGTTACAACAGAAAGAGACTAAAGGACATGGCAACCCAATGGTTTATTTGGCTTGCAGCCAGAAACCACGTCTGGTGATATGACAACTCCCACACAACTCCGTCAAATGTAATCCTGATATGAATTTTAATCAATATGGATTACTTTGGAAAGGCAATGGTACCAAGAGACATTTATCCAAAGAGGTTTATCCCAATCATTTGTGGTTTTCACCGACGCATATGAACATGATACAAAGACTTGTAATAAATTGAAATGTTAGCCAGAATAAAGAAAGACTTACTGCTAAATGGACGAATAACTGATTTAAATGAAAGAATGTAAACCAAATATGAATAGGACTGAAGCTTGCTAAATTGTTTGTGGAATGTGCCATTCCCGCAAAAATGATGCTGGTACAAATAACCATGCTAGCATAAACAAGAGTTCCAAAGCCTGAAAGAATTGCCTCAAGGGAACATCAAGAAATTCATGCAGTTGAGTGGCTAGTGTGCTAGTGACGTAAATTGTTTAGTTCCGTGTCCCACAAATTTGGATATCCTGAAACTCAGCGGATATATCTTAAATGACTCAAGCATAAGAGTGACCATAATATTTCAAGTATTTTACTGTCTGCTTTCCAGAAGAGGAAATGACAATGAGGACACAAGCAAGTCATTCATTTACGCCTTGATTTTATCGATATCCAAGGTTTTTTAATCTACAAACGTTACAATAAGACTCAAACATTCAATGTAACGGTTAGTTAGTGAAAGCTGTACGAGCAGACATGGGCCTTCATGCGAAAAGCAAATCGTTACCAAAGCTGTCTGCGAAAATTGAAACCAAAGAAGGATTGGGTTTAAATATGGACAGTCAAGTTGAAGACAAGACAAAAGAATCGAAAAGTCATTTGAGAAATGTTGATATTATTCGTTTAGATTCAGGAAGAGAGGCTGGTACAGCATATTACGAAGAATTGACAGTCGAGAAAGCGAATTCTGGGCGAAAGAAGACCGAGTTGAAGCGCAAGGACAAACTCAAAAGTGAACAAAGAAATGGGATTTCAGGCAGAATTCGAGTATTATTTCAGTCCTTATTCAATTTAGACAAGAAGTCGAAGGACAGTTTAATAAGTTCTCAAACCTTTGGGTGGCAGCTGGACTCCAACTTTGAAATAATTGAAAACATGGCTTATGTAAAATGTAGGTCGATGCCCGAATTGAATAAATTATGTAATGGCACAAAAAATGTAAAAAAGTCTGTTTCCTTCCGTCATCAAAAACCGTTTTTCTCAAGTTTACTGCGCAGATCGAGAAGAAAGCTGAACTCGTTTAGGGATCGCCACCAATCTGATTGTTCGTTACAAGGAGAAATGACAGTTGACAGTTGCTCAGATATAATGTCGGATGACAGGTGGTTGAGGAAAAAGCAAAGGGCCCAATCAGCAACTCAAAGCGACGTTTCAGCCCCAAACTCACCAGTATTGGAAAATTTTCCGCATTGTTTCCATAATTCTCCCGAAAATTCTCCAGTTTTTACGAAAGAAAGCCCGCCGGTTTTCTCAAAGGAAAGCATCCCAAGGGCGCGAGGCTTCCTACCAAATAATGAAAATGGAAGCATAGACAGAGCCAGACTACGTCGCGAAAGATTCCGACGGTCAAAAACTACAGGTCCTTCGTTCATGGGTATATATGCATCTACGTCATTGTCAGAAAGCTCTGATATTGCAGAAGAGGCTGAAATCCGAAATGAGGCTATTATTGCCAATGCATCTACGGTTGCGCAAAGACGAAGAAAAACGTTTAATAACAATAGAAGTAAAACTCTTGACTTGAATGAAAAAAAAGAGTCTGAAAATCTGCCAAAAACACTCCAGTCAGGTACAGTTAGCCAATGCAAAAACGGGACATGCTCTTACGAAGATGTTGGTTATACAAAAGAACTTCGAGATCTTGTAGAAGAGGAGTTGAAAGCACAGTTGAGCAATAAAGAATTTGACCCAGACCAATCGACTGCTTGTTGCCGGACAATTAGCGAATGCATCCGAATCAAGATCCAACAGGCAACGAAAGGCGTCTACAAAGTAGTTGTGCAAACATATATTGGAGCTGTGGAGGAAGACGGGATAATAACGGCTTTGCAATGCAATCTGAATCCGGAGAGCGATGGTTTTGCAGCAGTATCATACCGTAATGAATCATTGTTCGCATTTGCATCAGTACTAGCAGTAGACTTCACAGAGAAATGAATATATCAGCAGGCCTCCTTTACGCATCTACGAACATTTAATGGGTAGAAGTCGGTCTATTTTATAAAGCTAGACGCTCTAAGTTCTTGAGTGTACAATTGAAACAATTATGTATAATAAATTATTAAATTGGAAGTCAAACGTTGTCAGTTGTTATTTCTACCTCTTATTTGCATTGTAACGCCACTTTCACATTTGGATGATTTTCACGTTTCATGGAAATACAGTAAGAATTTTCCAGCAAATTAAAATGTGGTGAATAGTCATCAAGCGACTAACAGAGTGTTAGAATATGGCAACATTTATAGTTTGCTGGCAACAAATTCCAGAAAAAAGAGCACATTTTAAATTTTTTTCAGGAATTTTGTATATTATACATTTATTTTGGGAACATCATTCTGGCATAGACTTTAAAATTGATACTCATTTAGAGTTTATTTTGAATAATTTCTTTGATAGATCATCATCATTACCTGGTACCCTGAAGGGAAAAGTTTTCGGTTTACAGGAAAACAGAATATACCAAATTTAAAACAAAATTCAGTAATTTTGTCCCTGAATACTTTAAATTTCAAAAATTGTAACAAAAATTAACAAAAAGGGTTTTTACTGAGAATATTTCCTTCAATGACTAGATAGCAGCGTATGTTGAAAAGGTTTTGGAGATTTTTCCCAAGACCATTCACAGTAATACGACCAGCATCCCATTTTATTGTTTTGAACACGAATTGTGAAGAGCTGTTCTTCAATGCTTTAGTCATTCTGTATCATATTTTTAGAGCTTTTGCATTAAATTGCCAACAAAAATTAAATTTCCAAAAATTAGAATGGAGAATTCTTTCATTACATCTTATCTGCTTAAGTTGTATCCTGTTTAAAATTTTGCCTTTTAAAGGTATACCAAAACGAAGTCATTTCGTACAGAAGTAGACTACTAGTATTTATCTTTTCATAAAGATTCCTAGGCGGAGCTGTTCCATAATCATTAAAACAAAATAATATAACAATAAAAGATTAAGCTAATAAACAATTTTTCAAAAACGCGATTATTACGTATCATTACAAATTGTACTAATGCAACTCAATCTATGCTCTAAATTTATGCCACACTTATCAAAAATGAGACTAGAAGACTGCAGCCATTCTAATAGTTAACGGAGGCCAACGGATTACTTCTTTTTAAGAAGAATGCTTAACAAATGTTCGCACAGCTTTTAAGCATATTTATCTTCCGGTCTTTTTCTACCCTTATCTTGCTTAGTGCCAGTGAGTTACGACATTAGCATGTTTTATCAATTCATGGAGCGAATTTTGCCGAATCTGCCATATGAGCCACAAATTTCGAGCACGGAAATGGAAAAGCAAGCGGAGAAGCGGAGGAGCATTTCAGATAGATTTTTCTTACATAGATACTTCTCCGCTCCTAACTTCTATTTCCCTGTTCGAAATTTTGTGGCCCTCGAACCCAGGGTAACTAAGTCTTACCTTAGCAAATAGGGGTGCTCAGTCTGGGGTACAAACTTTCAACCCAAAAAAATAATTTCTAGCATAAAAAGTAATCCAGAAAATAGTTCTTCTTCCCCTGCACAATTCCTTCTTCCCCTTGCAATTTTTCCCTATTTTTGTAAACTTTTCTCATATTCAAGACACAAAAAGTAATTCAAAATTCAATGAACCAGAAAAGTAATTGTGCAATAGACGGACCCCAAAAAAAAACTTTGGCCCAAATCATAGGCCCAAAAATGAACCTTAGCACCCTAATCATAACATACTTTTGCTCAGTGCCGGAAATCGCGGGGGTGTGGGGCAACCGCCCCTAGGTTTTGCTAAATTGTCGGTTAAGTTATGTCATTTGTCGGCAAAATCGCTTGCTTTTGTGGACATTGCCCCCCCCCCCTCACTTGGAGAATGAATTTCTACCACTGCTCTTGCTTTAATTCCCATATTAATTTAGAGACTTCGAAGTTTTTTGCATGTGCAGTCATTTTCAGATCTGATTAAATGTGCAGAAAAAACGCCGCAAGAAACGTTCTTACGACGTACTAGACCTCCGCGTCTTGACAATTTGCAGACTAACTTACAAAATACAAAACTGAATGTTTGTATACTATAAAACGAGGGGAAGCTGTGTGCTGACTACGTTACTGCGAATACGAATAGGTGTAAATGTCAGGTCCCCAGTGGAGGACATCACACCCCCATGGCACAAGTCACTTTCTCCACTTTTATCCAAAAAGTCATTACTTCCCGACACAGCACAACTCTTCATAACAAATAATTGAATTTCTGGGGGTGTGATGTGACATAGCTAGGGTTCCAGCTGCTCCCATCCCCCAGAAAAGCGAAACAGCGCTACCTTTCGTTTGAGACTTTAGAAATGGCACGTGAAACATGAAAGCACGTGTTTTGAGATGAAACACGTGGCTTTCAAAATATGGAATTAAATCAACTTCAAGGCAAGATTATCAACAGAAATGACATAGATTCAATTTTCTGGGCAATATTTATCGACAAATAAACATTTCCTTGCATCAGTGAATAATTTGTGTACTTTGAGATCTTAAAAATATTTTGCACATTCGTTGTGTTCATGATTCTCTTGTCAAATCTACAGTACTGCAATAGGTGTAAAATCGTTAGTGCCATCTTATTCTCCAGTAGGAACAAATCTCCAAGGATGAACAAGGCGAGAGGTAGTTTACTTGGATCTTGCTCTCATCTTGCGTCTCTTTCTCTTCAACCTTCGCATACGCTTCTTCTTCCACTAAAAAAGGAAATTCAAGTCAACTACGGGACCAACAGGGAGCTTATAAACAAAAGGAATTAGAGTAAAATATTTTCGCTTTAAAGCATTTTCTTATCACAGTGGCCTTAAGTCTAAGGGAAAGTTCTTCCAAAAACCAATCACTCAATTTAACAAAGATGAAACGGTCAGTATGGTTTGACAAGATGCAACAAACTATATGATAACGTGTAAAACCATGCACATTCACAATATAAGACGTCCCAAGGCCACTTTCGTTTCAAAAATGTTGTGTGGGCCTAAATTGACATGTGAAGCAAAAAAATACGCTAAACACTCACCTTTTCCCTCATACTTGCAAAGGCACCAAAGAACTAAAATAAAATAGAAAGATCTTACTAAAAATTCAAAGGATGGAGAAGATTGATGTGGAATGGTAAAAAAGTCGAAGACAAATTTCAAGACACTCACCTACTTGGTTACCGTCAGGGAAAGAAAGGCAGTGTTGGATCGACGCAGAGAATTGAGGCTGATTTCCTGGGAGGAGGCTGAAGTTGAATAGGAGGCAAATTCGAAATGGTGCAGCTATTTTGGAAAAAAAACACTAATGGAGGCCAACAACATATTTATTTTTGTTGGTCAATTTGGAAATAAAATTGGATACAAACTGATTACTATTTTGAACCTGCATACTACTTATTGTGACTCAGAGGATACAGATAAAGATGTTTTTATTGCCGTTGATACTGAGTCGAAAGTTGTAAGGTATTTGCAAACGAAAGCTGGAAAAAATTTTGCTGGACAGGGTGTGTTTGACAAGAAAGGAAGAGGGGGAAATTGGTCGATGGGATATCATCTGCAGTGTGAGGCTGAATATGGGATTCCAATAAAAGAAACAATCGTCAAGATGGTGAGACGGAGAACTCGAAACTTCTCGACAAAATCCTGTCGTTAGTGATTCATATCATTTCATTTTTCCGACAAACTTGAACTGATAAAAAAAATTCGATGCATAACAATGAAATATTCCTAATCAAACAAGCCTTAAAAACTGCAAAATTCGAAGATAGCATAAAAAAGATGAAAAATCTCTCATATTATAATTGATGGATAATTCGATCCCCGCCAGGATAAAATTTTTGCTTACCTATTGTAATTATCCGACATTTATACTTCGAACAACGGTATTAAAATATGCAATGTCCAGGCCCGTCAGAACCAGGCAGCTGGAAGGTGGACTGGCGCCCCCAATAATTGTCAAACTTTAGTACATATATTTCCTTTATAACAGTTCACTTAGTGAGAAGGAATACAATTGTAATTTACTTATAATTGATATGTTTAAAACAAAGGCAATTATCAAACCCCTTATATGAAGGAAATTCTCTGCCAGCCTCCTGTTATTTACAACCTGAGAAACAAATTGTAAGAACAAAAATTTACTGTTTCGATATTATCAAATATTTAAAAGGGAATTGTTTTGGCTATCTCTACCTTAGCACACAAAGAGTGTTCAATCTATCTGAAAAAATTAAATGTTGGGATGGCACTAACTGCACACACAGATTATGTAAGACCTTCTTACCTCAACTTGGACTTTTGTAATATCATATCCCATGTGGTCAAATGTTGAAGGGGGCAAGCCTATTGTTTTGATAAGATGCTGTCACATTCCCTTATGGTTTTAAACCAAAAGACCATTGTCTTCCAAAATACTGGGGGGCAACCACCCCTTCACCCAGCCCCCAGGTGTCTGCCACTGTTTAAGTAACCCAGATTTTTATACCACTGTGTTTTAGTTCATTTGTTAAAGTTTACCAATGTTTTAAAAATCTTATTATATTAAAAATTATCTTATTAAAAACATTTAGTATTTTATGTGGCTTGGATTACTCTAAGTATATTTTGGAGTAAGTAGCTTTGTATAGCCTGCGTGCAGACTCAACTATTTAACATAGGAAATTTTTAGAGTCGGCACACAGGCTAAATTTGTACTGTCAACTTTAAACAAATTGATTTAGTATTTTCTTACTTATTTTATTCCTTGTTTGAAATGACAGGCAATACTTCTACAATAATTATAGTTGCCTAACTTTTCTTTTCAGGAATCATTATAGTCCACAGTTTGGTTGGTGGAACTGGGGGTGGTCTTGGCTGTGCAATCTTAGAGTCACTGAGAGACGAGTTTCCAGCTATCTCTATAACCTCAGTTACAGTTGCACCATTTGTATCTGGAGAGAGCCCCCTGCAACATTACAATGCTCTGTTGACATTACATTGGCTACAAAGGTACATAGTTTAAGTGGTACTTCTTGCCATCTGTTGATAACAACAGAAATGAAATCAGATTACAACAATTTTTTTCGAATGTAAAGGAAATGTCCCATACAAAGTGCATCAAATAAACAGGGTCAGACTTTTTTGTGCTCAGTCTGACCATGATGATAAAAGAAAAAAGACTAATTGGACACAACTGACACTAGAATATTCAGAAGTTTGCTATTTTTACAGTAAATTTGCACTGTAGCATTCTTTGTTTTCAAAGCATACATATTTTGCAGGCCAGTAGGTTTTTAAAGTTTTGCATTGCAAAATCACATTTTGAGGCCCCTACAGTATGTGACTTGTTATTTTGGTGCTAGTTAAGGCATCATCTGCAGGAAAGCTGGTTCATATTTTCTCTATCACTGATAATTAGATCAGGTGACAAGGTAGAGCCTCTGTCAAGTTGTTCTTGTGGTGCCAATTTGGTATGATTTTTTCCCCATAAAGTCACTGCTCAAATGGTTGATCTAGAATCCATTTCTGTTCAAAGTTTGCTCAACTCCATAACCAAGACTGCAGAGATCATTCAATAATAATGAAAAATACTGTTCAGTTAAATTTTTTTTGCCAAATTGACTTTTTCTGAAATATAAGTTCTCCTTTACTTTTTTGGCCCAATCGTAGAGGCTTTTGCAAATTTTCCTACAGAATATCCCAATCATAGCTTTACTCAAACATATTTCAATGTATTACTTTGCTAAAGTTGTATCAATTTTTCCACAAAACATATGAAATAAAGCATTCCCTTTCTAGATATGCTGATTGTGTGCTGCTTTTTCATAATGATGAAGTCATGAACCACTCTGTATCCATTTCTGGAGTACCTAAGGTGACACAGAAAGGTTCTTTGGCCACTCTTAGTGATATAAATGACTATATTTGTTACAATGTAGCATCTCTTTTCTACAAATTGCCCTATGATTATCAACAGCTTCTTAGCAAAGCAGAAACAAAGAAAACAGAAAACAAGTGCTTTGTAGGCCAAACATCCACAAGATCAGGGAGTCAAAGATTAGAGACAGGAGTAACAACTGGAGACTTACAAAAAATAACATCAAAGGCAAATAGATTGAGTGCAAAAATGACAACAATGAGTATTCATAAACATACTAAAAGATCAAACAAGACAGACTATGAATGTATGAAAAATGATTCAAACCCTATCAGATCTACAGACAGAAAAATGTCCCATCTATCTAAAAACAGCTGTACAAGTATCACATCAGGAAACCAAGATATTTCTGCAAATAGCGGCACTTCCGGGATGAAAATCCACAGAACTGATGATGATAAACAAGAATGTACTGCCACAATTAAAGATAATATTTTGCATCTCCTGACTCCAAATTCCAAAAAGAAGTTTATTGCTTCATTGCAAAAGCATTCCAGGAGAATAACTAGTGACTTCAAGCCAGTCCTGTCATCATTAATAAAGAATATTGTAAAGAAGGATCAGAATGGACAAAATTATATAAATTCAAGCGTGGTTTTAATTGCAAGAGGGGAATGTTCAAAGGCACTTGATTTTGAAAAGGATAAGGTTCTGAACTACTTGAAACAAAATTTAGTACTGGAAGATCAGCAAAACCCTTATGTGGATACAATTGCCAGTGAGTAGTACTCCTTTGAGTATTCTAGCTAAATTAAATGCTGGAGTTGATCAATTGCTTGCACAAAGGCTTAGGTCTCCTAAATAACCTTTAAACCTGTAAAACAATACAAAAATAGTCTTGCTTTAAGCCTTTTGCATGCTTAGCCCCCCCTCCCCTTCAAGAAAAAGAAAATAATGCAATAATGCAAGTGGAAAAGTAGAGTTTTGTATGCAAATGAAATCACTTTCATGCCTAAGAAATTTGCTATTCCAAAATTCACACAGCTGTAATAAAAATTAAAAATTCTCAGTCTTGAAAAATTGCTCCTTTTTTCCTCTTCCCAATTTTTATCATTAATAATAATTTCTAATTTTCATATTTACGTATGTTGATTTGTCAGTTAATTTAATTGCCAGCATCAATTAAAGACCTTTATATTACATAATAAAAGATGATATTTACAAGAAAAAAGTTAAAAGTTTACAAGAATAAAATTTTAAAATTATGATACTTGTGTAAACAAGGTTAAGGAAACAATAGTTTAAGCCTGGCTCTTCTACAACATTATCAGGTTTTTATGCTCAATCAGGTTATGCTCAAAAGCTTTTCTACTTTTTTGTCATGTCAGGTACTATAAAATCCCTTTCCCCAACCCTCCTGTTTGATAAGGACCAATATTGGGCTATTCATAACTTACTGTTGTGCATGCATTTTAAATTATCATAAACTTTATGAAAAATAATAAAATTCCACCATGGATTAGGCAACAGCTTCAATTAATCAATTTCAAGAATTCCTAACCCATGTTAATTTTGAGCCCCACATTCATAAAGCATCTGAAAGCAGGGGTGTTTCCAACACCCAATGACCTCCCCTTGTTGTCCATTCTTTAAATGAGTCTGCTTCAAAGTACAAAATTTCTCTTTTGCTCAATAGTTGTTGCTGTTACTATCCGAAGACTGATATGATCAAATATCTTTAAATTCCAGGGCATTTGTATACATACTAGCTAGGAGGCAATTACCCCTCCTTCCCCAGCAATATATCTTTGTTCAAGGCAATAGACTGTTGTCGGCTTGACCTTCTCAACTTGAATTCTCTTGAAAAAGGGCCATGTTCCATTTCCTTTTCTTAATACTCCTAGTTTTCTTATGCCCACATGCTCCCCCTCTGGCTTAATGTAGGCACATTTTAGTAATCTATCTATCACTAGGTCTGAACTGTATTGTGTTATTTGTTTTCTAATCGGCCTTTCACAATTCAATACACAGGCCCATTATGTGTCCCTGGCTACCAGACCCCTCTTTCTTTATCTCTCTACATGAACACAAGCCGAGTTGCTGATTTTATTGATCACGTGACGCACAAGGCATCATTGTTGTATGATAACAATGCTTACCTACACTGGTATGAAAAATTCGGAATTACTAATGTGAGTAGCTGCATTGAAAAACATATTTGAAAAAATTTGCCTATAGTTTGTCTTTGCTCCCAGTCCCATTGGCTAATCTTTATTCATAACTATATACATTAACCACAAAAACTTCGGCGGATAAGCTTCTTCGAAAAAAATTTCGGACAACTTTTCAGAATTTCGTCGTGAAAATATTCTTCGTGGTTTTAACAAAGCAGAAATAACAAAATGCTACCAATGTTCTAAGAGACAAAACCAACAGCTCCGTGGAGACTTTTGGGATTGAGCACCTACTTGAAATTTGACTTAACCCTCCTTGCTGCTTTTTCACACCAAACAGCATTTCAGGAAAATCAAAATAAAAGCAGTATATTTTCTCTGTTTATATGTAGGCAAATTAGAAAAAATGTCACTAGCACTCAAATAGTCTCTACTCTCTATCAATATGGCATGAAAGTTCATAAAAAGAGCATAATTTGAAGTATCTCTAATACCAAAAAGTAGTCTGGAAATTTTGCTGTCTTTAGAGTTCAAAATTTGTGTTTAAAAGCTCAAATACCTCAAACGAATGAAAGAAATAGTACAGTTGGAACTATAAAAAGACAGATGTGGAATTGTAAACGACGAGGATGATTATGAGGATGACGTAAATGAGGAAAACGCTGTAATTTGCAATGGCTAGATTAAAATGATCCATAAATTCGATCTCATGTAATAGCTTTATGCGAAATCTCAAAATTCTCAAAAGCAAAAAAATTCGACGTGACCAATTTTCGTCTTATTTAAAATTTAGTCGAAGAAAATCTCGTCAAAATATTTGTCCGAAATGTTGTCACGATGAAATTTTTTGTGGTTAATGAATATTGTTCCCCTTTTTATGAAAGTAAGCTTTTCCATCTTTGAAAAGACTTGTGCAATAAAGAACATCAACTATGCTTAATTGTTTTAAAATCAAAAATTTTTTGTGTGGTTCATGCAAGTTAATATCAAGCATATATACATAGAAAAGGAAGAGGCTATTGACTAAACATTTTCAAGGACTTTTAATTATCTATTTTCATTTTCTTTTATAGCTGATTGAAAAGAGAAAATTTTGTAGTCACAAAAATACCGATTTGCAGGCTAGAACCCTTTTCAGTAAATTTTTTATTGAATTAAGGCATCAACACTACTTAGAAAATTTTAGTTTAAGATTTTCAAAATTTCTGTTCAGTAGACTGATTAAATTAGTGATTAATTCTAGCTAAATAATTCAACAAGTTACTTAAATATTTTGGTTCTTTTCAGGAACATTTTCTGGAAGCATTTGCTACAATGAATGATGTTGTGCAAGAGTACAGAAGTGTTTGAATGAGCAACAAGAAAAATAATAACTTTCCTTTACTTGTTAAATCAGCAATAAAAAATTGTGTAATCAAATATAATTTAAGTAATTGTGTCTTTACTGCAATTTTGTCGAGTTCTTTTGAGCAAGTGGAGTTCCAGTTGCCAAGCTTTCTAACTACGTTTCATCAGCACCAGGCCGGAGTGTGATGTCATACTTTAAAAGAATATTAAAATGATGTTAAAAATGACTTTGTGGTTTATTCAAATCAAGTGATTTGTAAAATCAAAAAGAAAGAAAGGAAATTGCCAGTTTTTATCAAGTCACCATGGCAACAGAAAGCTTAATAGAATGTGGAAATGGCGAACCAGATTTTACAACCTTGATGTATAGCAGATGGAGGGAATCCCAGATGTTTTTAGTAAATTACCCCAACAGTGCCTAAAATATTTACCCAAATCAAATCAGAATATCAGCTAATATAAGAGTTTGGTATTTAAGATGTTATCACTAGATGCAAGGATGAATTCAATACACGCAAAGGTTAGTCGACAGAAATGACTAGAAGGGTCTTCCAAAGCACCTCATCATTGAAGCTCTGGATGTGCAAACAAACAGGAGGGTGGGTCCTGTAACCCTTTTGCTGAACTTTCACTTCTCTAGATGTTTAGAAACATCTGTTTGTCGAAAAATCTTCGGAATAAAGAAAATCCGAAGTATTAAAAATCGAAATTATTCGCACTGTTTTGCTAGGAAAGTGCCATTTGTCTTTTGCAAAGACCAACAAAAAAGCACATTTGATATCAGAACATAAGTACGACAAAAAGATACCAGTTGGGGTTCTTGTGAGAGGCGCAACCCGCAAAACAGACAATAACATTTAGTAAGGATGAACCATAGAAATAGTTTTGGACGAAAGAATGTATGTAAAACACTTCCTCATTTGAAAATGTTCCGTAGCCGCAAATTCACGAATGTAAATATAAAGGTTCAAACCCTGTTGCAAGGTTCGCCTTGAAATTGAGTCATGTATCTGCAAACTTCAGACATCAAAATACATCCAAATTGAATATCTGTAGCAAAGCCATAGTCGAGAACAGGTGTCGTCTGATACAGTAATAGCTTCAAGCCACAAGAAATGTAAAGAATGGATCAACTTAAGCGAAGGAAATGTAATATTGGGATTAACGGCGTGATAAACTCTTCCATCTGAAGGATTCTGGGACTTAATCATTTTAATACGGTGTGAATCATTCTTGTGAGTATGTAAAACGATTATACACCGACACGCAGAAGATATCTGCAACTAAGATATTACATATCACCTCATGTCCACGCGCTTAACTTACTCTTAATTTGTACCTTAAACTAGAAGTCCAATTAGGGAAAAGCTACTTTAGCGTATGAAGATCAGAACCACTTACCGCTAAGACAACCCTATAAAAGTGCGTATATAACAGAATATGCATCACGGATGATATGACCAGACTTCCATTTCAATGACAAGCATTTCCCTTCGCCTGATTCAATGACGGCGAATCCTAGAATCTCCAAGAATGTCTTTTCTTTGCAATTATCATCAATGATCTTTCCTGCCACGTCGTATTTTGTGTCCTTCCCTTCCATTGCGTTGAAGAGCTTTGATAAAGGAAGAAGAACATCGCCTTAGATCTCTTTTGCTCAATGTATAGCATGTGAACTTTAAATGGAAATATCTAAAGTTATTGCTTATAAAGTTATAGCTCCAAATTAGCATTTCACTACTATGAAATCATTAGATAGAAGAGAATCTAGAAAGCATGTAAGCCTGAAATCGTGAGTTTCTAACCCCCTCTCTCCTCATACGAGCGTACTCAATTTCTATTGCCTTTGTTTTAAAAAAGAAAAAGGAAGTTGCTTGGCATCATCTTTGCTGAAGTTTGAAGCATAATTCCGAGCTTATATATGAATATCAGCCCTTTTTTGCTTTTACATAGCTACTAAAAATCTGGGAATAAACATGCGCTTTCTCGTGAACCTCCCAAACCATATACACGAAATTCATGAAACCTACTTCTCCCCCTGAACGTACTTAATGGATCCCAACCAGGAAATTTGAAATTGCTGGTACAAGGTATCAAAATGTCATTTCAAAAAATAGAAATTTATCATATTGTTCGCAAAGAGAATTTTGAAGTAGAGGCATGCTCGGTTGTTTTTTCTGAAAAATATTTTATAATGATAACTCTTTATATAATTATCCTTTTTATAAATTAATACTGTCACTTTCTTTTCTAGTTCTCCTTAGATTACAATTAGGTTTTTCGAAAAGCTGTAACATCGTGTTTTGGAGGAAACTTTTACATAATGACAATGGAATCGCAAAAGCAAGAAAAGAAATTAAGAAATATATTAGTGTCAAAATAGAACGGAAGGCGGAACACTGCATACTTCCACCCGACTCCGAGCATAAAAGTCGGATGATGATCAAAGGTGAGCAGAAGTTTAAAGCCAAGTGCGGATCAAAAGAAAAGTGAGTTGAAGAATGGTGCGTTTGATTGGTTCTTCATTTTTAACCAATCAGCGACCACTAACCATTCAATAAGTTGAAAAATCCAAGAGAGAAACGAAACCTTAATTTTCCAAAACACTTTATAAAATGACAACCTGGTTTTCTTAATGATTTTAAAATTGTCGTCACTATACTTTTTGGCACAACTTGGATTTTGACCTATGGCTGAATCGCTTAAATGACTAACTTTTCTCATGGGTAACAATCGCTTAGAATGGACGGGAGAATGACTTTAGTACTGTCGACTACTTGAAGCTTCACAGGTGAAAAACAACTGGCTATGATCATTTTAATTTGACTTTCATATTTTGATGAAGTGTTGACAACCCGTCACAAATAAGCATTTTGAAATATAAGTATTTAGATATTCTTAATGTGATATTAGTAAATCTTTTTGTCTGATTTGCGTAAGTACGCATTTGATAATAATTTTTTGAGGCTTTCAGTATCATATCATTAGCTTAGGATTTTCCCAGCATTTTAACCAAGAGCATTCTGCAAAGGTTTGCGCAGCGTCTGTCTCCATAATGAAGTGCAAGATGAAATAAGACAATGATGTAAGTAAAGAGACTTACAATAGATAAAAGAGCTTCCTTGTGATTCGCTCTGCATTGCAAAAGGGCTGCAACTACTTCTTCTGGTAGCTCTGAAAAGTAGAATAATTAATTAAAGGTATAACAAGGTGGGGAAAGTGGCTAGTGATGAAAAAAGGCCCAACAACTTTGTCAGAACACAGAGTTGATAAAAGAGATATACTGCAGGGAGCTGTGAGTACTTTTCAATTTATCAAGCCATACTTGAAATCAAAAGCAGGTACATTATTGATAAAATGGATAGGTACAAACTACTGAGCATGAAAAAACGTCGCCAATAGCAATCGTATTGTATTATAAAACTAAAAAGTACACAGATATATAACCGATTTTCTATAGGAGAAGATAGGCTAAAAATAAGACATGTTCTCTGTCACTCCGAGTTTCGTGCTTGCGCACTCATCAGACAGACTCTTTCGCATTTTATCAACTGCTGTGTGCTAATGCACATCAAGCGCTGTTACGTCAGAATAGACAACGCAATCTGCAATAACCTATTTTTTAAATATATAATCAAAAATGCTAAATCGAAAGAGAAATAACCCTTATAAATTTGGAAGGGTCAGCGGCATAAAAAAGAGAACATTATATGTTTGTGTCATAATTGTTTAAGAAAGAAGCAAGTTTTTTATTTGAAATCTCAATAAATCCTCTAAGCACCCACCTCCCCCCCCCCCTCAATCTTCGCAAATATGAAGAAGATGCCAAAAGCATCAAACTCTGGCCTAAGTTTACACCAATACCTATCAAAATGAACCTCACAAAAACGTCAAAAAATTGAATTTAAGACGTACCAGAGGCGGATTCAAGCAGAGCCCAGCAACCCTGCACCAACTTTTTAGGATCTTCTGTTGGAAATTCAATTTTGCTTTCTTTTGTTATTGCCTCTGGAAGTTTAAATCCAAGCAGTAAAACAAGTTTTCTCCAGCCATCTACATCTGAAAATTTGGCGCTAACGATAGATGGAAATGGACAATGTCAAAACAAAGTAAAGCCTTATATTGAGATTATAAAAAGGGTTGTAGTTGAATAATGGGCTTTTTCTAAAACAAAACTACTGACAACGCTAATGCAAATTGCTAATTTTTGACATAATCTTCTGAACTTTCAGAAACTAGCAGGGCATATTCTTGAATTTCTACCCATATATCAATAAATTCGGTTGACCTCTCCATCGTCCGTCAGAACCGAAGACGTCCTTGTAAGATAGTAGTTTTGTTTCTGTCCTACACATGTAAAGGAAATGGGCTTAATCTACAAATGTTATGTTGATTAAGCTGTCTAAAATATATTTTTGTATTTTTGTCATTTTAAATGTTGATTGCGGTCAACAGTCTTGACCTTCTCTTGGCAACCGATGGTCTTGGTGAGGATGCCTTGAAAATTTGTGTCATGCCACGAAGTGATCTATTGTAATCGTCATTTCTTTCCTTGGTCTCAACTTCCATTAGGGAATATAAAAGCAAAAACACAGAGGAGTGAAGTTATCTCGCCTTCCTAACGTCAAGACTTGAAATCTGGCCAAGTAATAGTAGATTTGACAGAAAAAATATTCATTCGCAAATAAATGAATTATTAATGGGTGGTTGTGGTTTAAATCAATACAAAAACACTTTAAACGGTCCCCGAACCAAAACAAGACAAGTAATTTAAGCCTTGACTGCAAACCACATAATTTCAATAAACGCTTTTAGTATAAACGGTTTTCCAAATATTTCTATCATGAATCTTGAACTCATTACGTCATCATAAGGGTCTTCTTCACAATGAGGGACCACCTTCTTTCAAGCATGGCCTTAAAAAACATCAATTTATGGGTTGATTTATGAAAAAAAACTGAAAGTGGCAACGACCGATAGTAGATAGAGATTGTGGAATGGTTTAAACAAGGTCTAGATCAACCTAATAGATATAAGAAATACTTTTTAACTTAGCCGTTATGTTACATTCGAAATTAAGCTACATGACGAGTTTTGTGTTCATTGTGCCTTTGGAGTCCTGCCTATCAGGGGCGAAACTACCGGGGGGGTGTGGGGGGTGTGACACCCCCCCAATCCAAAAAATAGTTGATTCGCAGGGCAATCGAAGATTTCGCAGGGCGCCAAGAAGAGCTTTATTGCCACGCAGAAATGCCACCCCTGAAGTTCTTAAAGAGCCGTTTAGGAATTTTGAAACGGAAATATCGTATTTGTTATGAACCTCCCTTCCTGACATTGCATTTTAGAGAACGGAACAGGGATGTAAGGAAAAGCTCCGTTATTTGCAAAGCGAAAGCATTTCTTACCGAAAGTCATAGCCAATGGATGCAATGATTGATGCATATGTTTATGAGGGCAAGATTGAGTCATGCAAATTAATTTAAGTTGTAAATTATTTTCATGACATGCACGGCGTCACTGGGGGGAATAAGGGGCTGAAGTCCCTCACTTTGGTCAAGATAGGAATTTTTTTATCATTTTTTCTATTACTTTTTAACAGTGCATGAACTAAAAAACATAATAAATCGTTAAGATACCGATTTTGTTTCATCTAATTGCTAACTTTTTCACGTATATTTTTATTATTTTTCTTTTGTTTGCATTAATTCAGTGAATCATTTTATGTATCATTGCAATGTTTTAGTTTTGGATGTGTAAACATGGCCTTCTTGATACAAGAAACTGCACATTTCTGTTAAGGAAAAAAAATTCTCCCAATCAAAACAACATCTTTCTCTGTCATTCACAACTACGTGCAATCTGAAACGAAAGGTTGCCGTTTCTTTCCTTCCCAAACGTCTAACACTAGAGTTTTAGCATGACATCCCCCTCCCTATTTTTCCTAATAAACAATAATATTTTCAATAAACAATCAGTTCTTTTAGCACGATAGTATTTTGCTAAATTTTTTAGCCCTTTTTACAAGGTATAATTTCAAAAAATTTCTTCACGTCGGACCCAATCATGGTGGGTCCTCCTACCTCACTAAACTCGACTCTTAGCCCCACTGGGTTAAATTTCGTTGCGCTGTCTACATCATGTACCCCCCCCTAATAGCTGTTTATTAGCTTAATTTTGCAAACCAACATTAAATGAAGTGAATATAAAAAAAACAATTTACGCTCACGTAGAGAAATAGAAATTTTATAGGCAATGAAGTTTCAAGTTTGTTTTTATTGCTTAGAAGTTTGTCCTTGGTAAAGACCAGTGTACACTGGTAAAGCTTTCACTAGTAACCTATAGACAAACCGTTGCTACGAGGTCTGCAGGGCACCACTCAGTTTTGCAGGGCAGAAACCCTTTTCACCCCCCCAAAACTATTGGCCAAGTTACGCCCCTGCTTACATGTAAACTTCATGTTACAAGTAGTTTACTTCGATCTTATCCTATACGCAGATGGGTCTCGGAGAAGTTGAACCGGAATTTCAACATTTTTTTTGTAGGTAATAAACCAGGCAATATCCAGGACTCAGCAAGAGTGCGTGTATC